AATATCTCTGACCGATGACCTGAAGAACAATGGACTCAAATTAAAGAAAATTGTTCTGGGGGTCAGAAAGTCAAATCTCCTTGTTAAAGGAAGATGCAAAAATCTTTGTACAGATCAATATTGTCAATGTAAAAAAGGTCAAGCCCTGAAATTAAAAAACGCACATAAAGTGATAAACCCACCTGAAATTCGTTCTGTCCCATGATTTTATAGCAGATTAAGCAGACGAGTCTACCTTCTTGATCACAGAAATTCTCTGTCAAAACTTCATCAACTACTATATCAATGTCGATTTTCCCTAGATTTAACAGACATTTCTTCCCCATAGTTGAGGTTTTCTCGTCGAAAAATATACAAAGATTGTCGAGGTCTGAGTATCTGGCTCCGGTATCTGTTATCATGTTCTCTAGGAACCTATTTCTCCGGAGGGGTTCTGTATCTCCAGATATCTCTTCTCCGCCACTCCCATCATCCATGTCAACAACGTCAACAGATTCCTCCGTGATATCCACAGGTTCGCTAGGTTCAAATTTTATGCTCTCAAATGTAACATTTAAACCTATAGTCACGTTTATATTTATTGTTGAAAATAATAATAATGTTAAAATTAAAATACCTTTAATAATGGAATGCCTACCCCCTCCCCTTCCCCCAAGAAAGAGAATTCAAATTTAATAAACATTCCTAATGTACAATTTATATTTCTTAATGCATCTAGAGTCTCCTGAAACTAAATATTCATGATAAAAAATAAAAAATAAACTATGAAAGTTTTTAATAAGGCTAAACATTAACAATTAACACTTCAAAATTCAAGGGTTGAAGTTTTTTAAGGGGATTAACAAGAAAGACACCACTGAATAACTGAGAAAACTGACCATAAAAAATGGAAAGTTGTGTCCGACGAACAGATTTAAGAATAATTTCTTACTTTGTTTGGCTCGTTCTTGTACCTTATCTACTCCTGTTAATGTTGGGTTGAGAAGAACTCGGAGAAAAAGAACGAATTCTGCACAAGAAATATCCGGAAAAATCAGACAGTAACCATCAAGGGAACCAGAGCAATATCTTAACAGTATTTAACATATATCTATATTTATAAAGTTGTAATATCTGTTTGTCTGTCAGTCTGTCTGTTCGTTTGTCCGATCATAACTCAGGAATCCCTAAACCAATTTGCCTGAAATTTTGATTGGGGAACTCTATTGGTTTTAAGACTATTAAAAGCGATATATTAGTTTCCCTGTAAAATCGTTTAAGTGCGGGTAAACGGCGGGAGTATCCTGGGCAGCGCTAAGTTCCCAAGCTAGTTTAATAATAACTTAAATTGACTCTGAACAAACAATTTTTTAATTTGGTTCCTAATTCGAATACCTATCAAATTTAAGATGATTTATTTTTATTTTATAATAGCTCAAGTGCCCGTCGTTGCCCAAGTTACTCCACTTGAAATCTCAAACCAAGCTAACAAACATTCCCGTGGTTCTCTTGAGTTCCCCAAGCAAAATTTGAGGCAAATCGGTAACGGGCCTATGAGTTATGATCGGACATACAATGTAAAAATCAGTGCTAAGGATCCGGCAAATCAATCAAAAACTGGGAAAAAAACTTTTTACTCTTGAAATTCAAATCTAAACTGTTAAATAGAAATTTTTAAAACTTTGCTTATCGCTGAATGGTTCATTAATGCTTAATTAAAATAAACGAAAAAAGAAGAAAATTAATTTGAAAATTTGTCTTATGTTAAAAAAATCAGAAAATCTTATCGAAAGTTTGATGACCTGGATCCGAATCTGGATCCATTTTTTCCATTGTGGATCCGAATCAGCATTAAAATTAAATGGATCCTAAGCAATGATATAAATAGATAATCAACATAATTTATTTTTCGATCTAACTGTAACAAGAAAGTTTTACAGATGCAAAATTCAAGTCGTTTTTTTAATAAAACTTTTTGTAGAGTTTTCTAAGTTTCTTTTCGGCCAACATGTCGATGTAGGATTTCCCCCTTTATTTAGCTCCCAACACATTCTTAACAAAATACCTATTTAGTGCAGGGTAGATTGCAGCAAATATTATTCCCTGAACAGATATAGTTCCATCCATGCACTGTACATCCAACTCACAGAACTCATCATTCTCACTTAATTCATGGATTGTCTGGAGTAAAGCACTAGTGTACCTACTCAACCCAACCATTTCCTCTGGCATTGATTTCTGAAAAATAACTTTTCTTTGCTAAATTCAACTTTTTGTTTAGAAATATTTGAAAGCCATTGTTGTCCATCGTCACTAGTCATTAAAAACATATTAAGATTAATTTGCTAACATATGATCACATGACCAGGTCTGTGTTGGAGATCAAAGGACTAAGAATCGTGGTGATCCTAGATTAGATGAAAGATTCTTGAAATGATTCTCCAGGTCCGGACCAAATAATTCCAGAGTTCTCATCTTTCAGACTGAAATATTATTCTATACAGGAACAATTGAAATTCACATCTAAGAATATTATGATATTTTCTTAAAAGCTATACGGTAAGAAATCTGAAAGCCCCCCCCCCCCTCATCGGAATAAACTACTATTAACAAAGATAAAAATTTTAATTCAAAGTAGAAAAAAAATCAACATTAGTAATACAAATTGAGTTGTAAAATGAATTAATAATTTTGTTTTCTGTAACTTCTTCTTACCTAATGTTAACTCCTGATTTTGGAATAATAATAGGTATCCCCTGGGATTCCTCACGGTGAGTTTTCATATGTTTCTTTACATCTCCAGGTTCGATGAAAGGTTTGAAGCAAACTAAACACAGAAAATAGAAATTTAATATTAATGATTCAGCTTTGATGTATACTGAAGGAATTTCTCTTACATGGATCTAGGACTAACTCTGAATCTAGAAATAACTCTAAATCTAGAAATAACTTTAAATCTAGGAATAACTTAAATCAAGGAATAACTTTAAATCTAAGATAACTTAAATCTAGTAATAACTCTAAATCTAGAAATAACTCTAAATCTAGTAATAACTCTAAATCTAGGAATAACTCTAAATCTTGAAATAACTTTTAATCTAGGAATAACTCTAAATAAAACAGTAACTCTAAGTCTAGACTCTAGGAATTACTTTTACTCTAAGAATAACTGTAAATCCACAAAAACTTTTAAATTTATGATTGTGTTATTTGAACGTACTCTAGTTAGTTATGTATTAAAAAATGTTGTTTTGCGTTCAATAAATATTTTTGTGATGCGACTTAAAATAAAAACAATAAAAAAAAAATCTGACCTGGACAAATATGCTTCTTTACCCCAGTATGGGTGGCGGTGTGTCTAGATAAATGGGATTTCTGCATAAATGCTTTACCACAATATTGACAAACAAACTCCTTTTTTCCCTAAACACAAATCAACGGATTGGAAGGATGAATTCGATCAACTATTAACATAAGGGCGAAACTATAGGGAAGGAATTGAAAAATCGACCTCCCTAATGCTCTATGGTTTTTTTACTTCGTAAGTTACAAAAAGAGTTTTGATTTTATCTATATTTTTATGATGAATATTGGTAATTGGCTGGTGCAAAAACGATTGGACTTCTTCGATAAAAAGTTTTACTCTTACTATTATAACTCAATTCATAAATCCTCATGTTTCTTAAAAATTATTATTAATAAATTATTTCAAAACCATGCTTAAAATGATGTCAAGATTAAACATTTTTGATCGCTGTAAAGATGGCTAAAACCTACCCCATGAAACCGGAGATGGTTCTGATAAACAGAATGAGATCGAAACCTTTTCTCACAATGAGGACAGGCATATCTGAACAAGATATTGATAGAACTTGTAGTAAAACAAATATATCAAAAATCAATAACAAATGAACCAGGGAGTAAGGAATAGAAGGGAGATACAACTGACGCGGTTCGCCCTACCATATGATTATGCATGCTTTGCAGACGATACTCCATTTGTATAAGAAATATTTGTCTGATGTACATTTACTGCGTATACAATAACCTATTCTGAATATTTCTTATACAAATGGAGTACCGTCTGCAAAGCATGTAAAATCATATGGTAGGGCGAACCGCGTCAGTTGTATCTCCCTTCTATTCCTTACTCCCTGAAATGAACCCATCGGCGCCGAAGTCGTTTTATTGCCTTTGTCGTTCTGATTTTATATCCCGTATGGCCCCTTAATTTATAAAATAAAACAAAAGGTTCTATAATTTCACAGTTTCAAGAATTTTGAGATCATAATATTATACTCAATCCGTAGAACAGTGGTCAACTAGGTTAGGTAAACTGAAGATAGATAGATAAAATATAATAATCACGGAACCTTTAGAAACTTAGAAAAATGACTTGCTGGGAAAATAGCGATTATTAGGTGGAAAAAGAATTCGTACAATAATGTTATCTCTTACTTTTTCTCCCCAGTATGAATTGTAATATGTGATTCCAGGTTCGCCTTCTTCTTAAAACATTTCCCGCAGATAGTACAGAGGAACTCATGTTTAATTCCACCATGTTTACTCAGAACATGATTACGTAGAGCTGACCCAGTAAAGTAGGAACACGCACATTTGTCACACTTCAAAAAGATCTTATTCAAAACAAAATAAAGATTAGATATACTACAGAGCCACTCATAAAAATGTGGAATAGGAAGACGACATTTCAGCAATGTTATGTGTATTTGATGTAAATTTCCAGTTGCTTGAAAATCAACTTAGTGTACAACTTCACTGTGCACATTTGATGTGCTTAATGTTCATTGGACTATATTAACTTAAAAACTACTTCTGAAAGGTAGATAGTAACCAGAACTTAGTCCTGAAATGGACAGGATTGGATGAAACAAAACATCCCAATCGACACTGCTATGATCGGCAGCTCTTGACTCAAAAGATTCATCTTCCTTCTTCACTCTTTTACGCGTCCCGCTGTATCAGAGATGGGAACTTTTGAATGGGATATCCTTCATCCTGAGATGGGAACTTTTGAATGGGATATCCTTAATCCTGAGATGGGAACTTTTGAATGGGATATCCTTAATCCTGATCAGATAATTAATCTGGAGATTAAAAATGAGTGGAGAACAAGCAATATTTAATCTGCAGATTAAGAAAAAGAGTGAATTAAGCCTTAATCCCGATATCCACCATTCTAAAGTTTTCAGCTCAGATCGGATAACTAATCTGGAGATTAAAAATGAGTGGAGAACAAGCAATATTTAATCTGCAGATTAAGAAAAAGAGTGGATTAAGCCTTAATCCCGATATCCACCATTCTAAAGTTTTCAGCTCAGATAAGATCTTCTTGTAAATACTTGAAATCAAAAAGAAATAAAGATTAGATCGTCTATTACCGAATATGATTTATCTCCGGTGTGAAGCCTCATGTGTATATCCACGTTTGCTCGTCTTTTAAGAACTTTTCCACAAACAGTACATGGGAACCTGGTTTCTAGTTGATTGATATCCTGTCTCTGCTTCTCACAGATCAAACTGGAATCTTAAAGGGACTGTTTGCATAATTTCAATTGACCCTCCATGCAAAGATGGGAATGTCCAATTCACAATGGTACCCTTAAAAGTATAAATTAGATATCAATGTTTATAAATTTAAGACTGATATTTTGAAATTGTGGTTTCTCTACAAATATACTTGCGCATTTCTTCTGCAGGAGAATGTAAAGATATACGTTAGAATTAAAACACTTTTAGGTCTAACAAAGGACATTATTTTTTATAGTATATATTGATCAGACAAAGGTTTCAAGGGTACCGTTGTGAATCGGGCATTGCCATCTTTGCATAAAGGATTACTTGAAGTTACGCGTACAGCATTTTAACAGATTAATAACAGGTTTTTTTTAGAATTTTGTTGGTTTAAAGAATTCAAAGATTTTTATTATCTTTATTTTCTTACCACTGTTTCCCTGCTCAACACTGTTTATCTTGATGTTGAGATTAACCGAGCTAGTTGTATTCAATCCTTGTCCTGGTTCATTGAATTTATCGTTTTCCGAACTAGAAAATATAAAGCTTTGTTTTTGCGATAAAATAGATTTTTCTTTTGACAAACTTCGTCAACTTTTCATAAATTCAATATCCGGACTCAAAGGAAAAAAAAATAATTTAGATGATTCAAAAATTGACAAAATCACGATGCTCCATCCTACCTAAAATATTCTTTGGAAGATGTTGATTTTAAAGCTGATTCTAAGCTGTGTACAGGAGAAGACGGTAACATCTGAAAACTTTGATTGCTTTGTTCTGGGCTGGGTTCCTTGTTAATTCTCAAATCAGATAATAGAAATTTAAAACTATTAAACTAAACCCTTCGGATAAAAGATCCTTGATCATCTTAGTGGCATATATAAATTATTCAAATTAGGATACCTGACGGTTATCCGGTATTTTATTTAGTATCCTCGCCCCTCTTCTTCTATAGTGAGTTTGTAGATGTGTATTTATGTCCTGGTATCATGCCATATATTATAATATTAATTAATAATTTATCTTTAAGCTATAAGCGTAATTTAAAGTGAACCTCAATGCAAACATGGCAATGCCCAATCTACAACGGTACCCTTAAAACCTTTGTCTGATCAAGTAAGAATTAGATATAAACGTTTTTTGTTTAGTTTTTTAACTGCATTTTTCATTTGCGGTTTCTCTACGAAAATGACTTGCGAATATCTTGTTTATAAGAAACAATGGAGAAGCTCAAAGAAATAAACACTTTTGGCGTCAGAAAAAGGACGCTATCTTCCCAATATTTGATCACATAAGATTTCAAGGGTATTATTGTGAATCGGACATTGCCATCTTTGCATGGAGGGTCACTTGAAATTACGCTTACAGTCCTCGCGGGGAGATAATCTGATTCCTAAAGAATCAAGTTTTAACTAATGAGAGATCAGTCAAAATTAATTGACCTCCCATTGGTCGGAATTTTCAAAACTATGACCAATAAAAGTTCGGTTTATCGGAGAGAATGAGGTTAATAATTTCTTCCACTAAAGTGGCTTTAAATATTTTCATTCAATCAATTTTAACGTATATTGGGATTTCCTTTCTCTCGCAGAATGATTTTTCGCACACTGTACATCTGTGAGGTTTCTCCTAGTATGTAGTATATAATTAGGTTAATATCTATCATCCCCTTAATATCATAATTTATCACAAATATGCTCTCACACACAGATTTTAACAGTTCAGTACGTAATTATAATGTCTTCCAAAATCATTCCAGTTATATAATTTTTGCTCAAGATTTTCTACTGATTATATTTATATTTTCACTCACAAAACAAGTGGCCGTATACACTTACCAATTATACCAATAAAATTGGGGTTTTACTATTTTTTTCGTTATGCAACTGTCTGCTCCATTTGAACAAACTATTTACTATATAAAGCAGAAAATTTCTTGAAAATCTCGCTCTCAACTTCTTAGTGAAAATTTATCAGATTTATCAAGGGAATATCTATTAATATATTTAACAAGTGCATGAAACGCTTCCAGAATTTTTTTGATTATTTTTTTATCAAAATTTCATAAACGTTAGCTGTTATATATTTATTATTATTTGTTGTACATTTCTAAACCAAATATAGATTTGAATAATAATAATTTTACCAGAAGAGAACAAATAATAATAATAGCATATTCTAACCTTTGTGTGAGTTTTCTTATGTCTCCATAGATTCTGCTGACGTGCAAACCTTGCTCCACACTCCGGGTACTCACAAGGATAGGGTTTATCCTACAAAGCATAAAATAAAACAAATGAATTTTTAATGAGACACGTTAAAATACCTTGGTATGTGATCTCACGTGCATTAACATAGACCATTTTCTTGGAAAGAATGCACTGCATTCAGCACATTGATAGGTTGATTTACCATCAGACCCGGATACAGGGATTATAAACCTGCTCTCATTTCTCAGGTCCATCTCAAAACCTTTCTTAGGACGTCCAACCTTCCGCCAAGGGGGAGTAGAGACAGGTGTTTCGTCTACTGGTGGGTCGGAGGGAGAATCAGATTCATCCACCATACTCTCATCTTCGTCGTATTCAACCTTGCTAGGATTATCTTCAATATCGTTAGGATTGTCTAAACCGTCTTTATCATCATCTTTAACCTTCCTGGAGTATAGACATTTATCTACTTTCTGAACATCCTAGATATTTACTAAATTTTTCTTTGTATTTTGAAAAATGTATAAAATTATTTTAATATTTTATTCCAACATATGTTTAATTAAATGTTATTTATGTAGATCATTCTTATCTCTTCTCAATGCTAAATTTAAAGAACTTATGTAGAACATTTGCATCCCTCTAATTTTAAAAGAACACAATGACACATATCTTGCATTAATCAGTAGATTAGTTGACCAATTACGTTGGGGCAATATTTTCAATAAACAATTATAAACCCTGTAAACATTTTTCAAGTGAAAAAAAATCCGAATAATTTGTTTAAAATTCTCCTTACCGTACTGTCTTTTGACTGAACCATTTCCAGACTTGAGATGGAGAGTAGGTTTAGAATGCACTGGAGAGAATCCAATTGTTCTCCAGGTGCCAGGAGCAGGGGAGCATCCTCCAGTTCTAATCATAACATGGATCATGCCTCAAATAGGCTAAGTTTTTGTTCAGAGGGGGGGGGGAGATAATGAGTGAGTGAGATTACACTGATCGTGCTAGTATATATATCTAACTAGCTCCTACCTAACAGGGAGTTGAGAACCAGTTTAATATCACTTGTCTGAATATCTGGGAGTAGGACGGATATCAGTCCTGGATCAGAGCTATTCTCAACCATTAGAGAACGAAGGAAAGGACTGACTAAAATACACGTTAAGAGTTAATTTAATTGAATAAGTTGTAGATGAGAATAAGGAAAATAGTATTAATGTATTGTATAGGTATATACCAGTACTTAACAAAGACGAGAACCAAGGAACTGTTCCGTCTGAGCAGCACAATTCTAGATCAACCCCAATACCGTTCCTCACCATATTCTTTAACTCAATCAACACAGACAGCTCAGCCTAGAAGTGTTCGTATAAATCTTTTAATTTCAGTAATTTACAAAGAGCTTATTCATCTAATTTGGTGTTTACCTCCTTGTTTCTTCTCAATGCTATTTCACCAGCGGCCATTGTTATTAAAATCGAAATAAAAAAGGTAATTAACAAGACTTGTTTTCAGAGATTTATATCTCTACGACATTTTGATTACAGAAAATTTCAAGACAGGAAAGCGTAAAATGCAATTAAGATTCACTCTACTTCAGGAAACATTCAGACTACTATAAACAGAATAACACTCGTATTATTTCAGCATTTCTAGGGCGACGCCTTCATAGACGATTAGTTATGGCCAGACTCCAGAGGTGTATTCGGGAGGAGGGGGGGGGGGGGTTGCTATGGGGATTCAGCCCTCCCCTGAATCAGTGAAATTTTCCGGGGGGGTTTTGCTCCCAATGGATGCAAAGTCCTACCCTTATAGGGAAGAAAAACGTTAAGCCCCTCCTGGACAAATTCCTATCATATCCCTACTCTCCCCGTTTAGGGGCTTGAGGATTCCGAGGAAAGGTTAAAAATTCGCTGATGAACTGCGAGTAGATAAATGATTTCCTGACAAAGATTCAATTCATCCCCCCAAATCAACTGCCAAAGCTATCTATGATGTCTGAAGAAACGTGGATATAATACCAAAGGATGAGAAAGGTTATGATTAGGACTACAAGGATAAGAACTTTTTTATTTATATTTTACATTCCTAGAAATGTACAGGAAACAGAACTTTTTAAAGAATCAATCACAAACTATTTTTCGTCTCCATTTGTTCTTTAAAAAAATCCTTTATCTTCATTTTTTCTCTCCGTCTTCGACTTTCATTTGTTTTTTAACATCATATGTATTCAACAAAAAATCACATGAAAAATATTCATCTTTCTTTTTCACAGGATTCCACTGGTCAGCGGTCTCCATTTCAATGATAAATGTGACACATAAAAATTGAATACTAAGCTTTACAAATGTTTACATGGGTTGTTAAGCAAGATATATTTCTTCACAAGGCACAAATGAACTTTGGACTAATAGTGCTTTGTGCACTTTGATTAAATTTAAACAATGCCCTGAACATTGGCATTGCTATGCATGTGAAACAACTTAACAGTTTAATGATCCTTCATATTCCGACTAGGATCAGGAAGTGTGGTACTAAGATTTATTCATTTATAAAATCCTCGAATTGTTTCATGATATCCTCTTCTCCCCTCCCTGCAGTGTTTTCAGCCTTCGTTTCTTCCTCCAACTCAGCCTCATCAGCCTTCACTTTATTGTCCTCTAAATAATAGATATTTTTTTAAAAAATTATATTTTCCAATAAATTAACTACATTTTCATAGATTTTTACCGAAAAAAAAACCCAGCAAAGTCAAATGCCCAACTTAGAAGTTGAGATCATAACATTTCAAAGAAATTCTTTACTTAAAAGTTTCTACCACTATTCCACAATCTAACAACCTACAATGTAGATTACATCCAATGTAGATTACATCCAATGTAGATTACATCCAATGTAGATTACATCCAATGTAGATTACATCCAATGTAGATTACATCCAATGAAGTAGAGAATTCAGAGCTGGGAACTTTTGTGTTGGATTGGATACTTATTACTTATAATCCCGATCCACAGATCTAGATATCCACTATGGTCACTTTTAATTTGAGGATCTATAAAAACTATACATTTTCAATCTTAATTTTAGTTCTTCGGGATTAAGCATTGATCTTGATATCCAAAATACAAGAGTCCCAGCTCAGTGCACTGTATAGTGTATATACAATAGTACCAGCCCAGTGTACTGTATAGTAAATGTATAAGAGTCCCAGCTCAGTGTACTGTATAGTGTATGTACAAGAGTACCAGCTCAGTGTACTGTATAGTAAATGTATAAGAGTCCCTGCTCAGTGTACTGTATAGTGTATGTACAAGAGTCGCAGCTCAGTGTACTGTATTGTGTATGTACATTGTACCAGAGTCCCAGCTCATTGTAGTTTATAGTGAATGTACAATAATCCCAGCTCAGTGTACTGTATAGTGTATGTACAATGTACATTGTACCAGAGTCCCAGCTCAGTGTAGTGTGTAGTGAATGTACAAGAGTACCAGCTCGCTGTACTGTATATACAGAAAACAATTTGTCTCTGCTAAAAAGCATTTTATCCAAAAATGACAATTCAACTTGACAAATAATCTACGCTAGGAGAACTTTATGTATTCTCTATCCTATTTAGGACCTTTCCTACAAAAAAAATTTATGGAGAAAAAAAAAGTTTTCATAAATTCTTCACAAAAATCGTAAGTTAAAGCTTCTACACACTGTATGAAACAAAAAACGTAAAAATTATCAGGCGCAAATTGCCCCTTAAGTCTTAGTCTTAATTATTAATAACAATGATAAAGGAATGAAATTAGAAAAAAGTTTTTACATTCTTACCTGGTCTTAATTTATCTGAGGATAGTGCTCGATGAACTCCAGGTGGTGGACTAAACAGAATCATTAAAATCAAGCTTTTAAACACCATCAGGTTAAAGAATTTATTTGGAAAAAGGGATTGAGATAAAAAAGAATACAATGGTTTTAGAAACTTCAGAGAAATTAGGATGCTTTCCATTTTAAATAATGAATAAAAATCCTTAATTTAAAAACAAAATCAAATTTTTTTTAAATTATTTTATCAAACCAAAAAATTAATACTAACCTTGGAGATTTACTGCTATCCCTACTAATCCTTCTCTTCTTCCCTTCTTTACTTTTCTTCATCTTCTTCTCACCCTTCTCAGATTTCCCTTTTCTCTCTGCTTTCTTTTCTTTCTTGGGCTTCTTCTCTTTCTTTCTCTTTTTTGGGCTTGGGTTGTTTTCCGACTCCTGAGAAATTGACCGCTTTCTCAGTTTCGACTTTTCCCTATTTTTCTCTTTTTTCGAAACTTTCCCCGGGCTAACTGAGATAGATTTGGCTGGAAGGAGATCTTCAGTTGAGGATTCCTCGTCCTTATCGACTAGACGGATAGTTTTGGTTTCAACAGGTTCACTTTCATTCTCCAACTTCAGATTTATAATCTTTATCGTTTAAGAAAACAATCGTAAAACCAACCGAAGAAAAAAATCGAAACAAACAAAAAACCTGAAAGTAAATCAATTAAAAAGCTGGAATTAATATAAAAGATTATGTTTCTCCCTTCTTTGAAGATACTAGTCCTCCGAATACTCTGGCAGCATAGGATACTGGTCTCCTCTCTACCCTCTGCACATCTAAACCCTTCTCAGTTGTTCGTGGTACCTGGAGAATCTTTGACTTGGTCAAACTGTCAACACTTGTATCTGCCTGAAAAATTAATTTTTTTATCAAATGTTTAACTAAATTTCAGTAGACCTCCAGTTACCGAGTTCATTAACGACTTACATCAATACTTGTTATACCTTTATCGCTATGATGCAAAATTCGTAATTTTTTATCAAGAGTTTATTTAGGATTTATTAAAAAGATTTACTAAGATTTCTCTTGTGGAATGTGGAACTTGGAAATAATAATAACAGTCTCTGAAACCATTACGAAACACCCTCTTTACTGTTTTCTTAAAGAATTATCATTATTTTACCTTACGTTTTCCCAGCCTTGCTTTGGCACTCTTACTGAAGATCCTAGTATCGGCATGCATACCGTTGGTTCGACTTATAACCGAGATAAGCTCAGGATCTAGAACAGGGATAGGATATCAATATATACTACACTGAAATAAGCACAAGGGTTGATAAATAATTTGTAGTAATGAAGCAGAAAAAATAGGTGGAATAAAGATCAAAATAAAATGAATTATCAAGGAAGATCAATAGAGAAAATAAGAATGAGGATGATTAAAAGAATAATGAAGAGAAGGATTATTGAAATAACCCAGAGAAGAGTCAAGAAAATTATCTAGAGAAGAGTATAGAAAATTATCCAGAGAAGGGTCTAGGAAATTATCTAGAGAAGGGTATAGGAAATTATCTAGAGAAGGAGCTAGGAAATTATCTAAAGAAGGGTCTAGGAAATTATCTAGATAAGGGTATAGGAAATTATCTAGAAAAGGATCTAGAAAATTATCTAAAGAAGGAGCTAGGAAATTATCTAGAGAAGGGTCTAGAAAATTATAAAAGAGAAGGATCTAGGAAATCATCAAGAGAAGGGTCTAGGAAATTGTCTAGAAAAGGTTCTAGGTAATCATCTAGAGACGGGTCTGGGAAATCATCTAGAGAAGTGTCTGGGAAATTATCTAGAGAAAGGTCTGGGAAATTATCTAGAGAAAGGTCTAGGAAATTATCTAGAGAAGGGTATAGGAAATTATCTAGAGAAGGAGCTAGGAAATTATCTAAAGAAGGGTCTAGGAAATTATCTAGATAAGGGTATAGGAAATTATCTAGAAAAGGATCTAGAAAATTATCTAAAGAAGGAGCTAGGAAATTATCTAGAGAAGGGTCTAGAAAATTATAAAAGAGAAGGATCTAGGAAATCATCAAGAGAAGGGTCTAGGAAATTGTCTAGAAAAGGTTCTAGGTAATCATCTAGAGACGGGTCTGGGAAATCATCTAGAGAAGTGTCTGGGAAATTATCTAGAGAAAGGTCTGGGAAATTATCTAGAGAAAGGTCTAGGAAATTATCTAGAGAAGGGTCTAGTAAATTATGTAGAGAAGGGTTTAGGAAATTATCTAGAGAAAGGTTTAGGAAATTATCTAGAGAAGGATCTAGAAAATTATCTAGAGAAGGGTATAGAAAATTATCTAGAAAAGGGACTAGAAAATTATCTAGAGAGGGTCTAGAAAATTATCTAGAGAAGGGTCTAACAAGTTTTCTAGAGAAGGGTCTAGAAAATTATCTAGAGAAGGATCTAGGAAATCATCTAGAAAAAGGTTCTAGGTAATCATCTAGAGACGGGTCTGGGAAATCATCTAGATAAGTGTCTGAGAAATTATCTAGAGAAGGGTCTAAGAAGTTTTCTAGAGCAGGGTCTAGGAAATTATCTTAAAATAATTTTATAAACCTGGAGATCCATGGGGTGTATCTAGGTCTGAGTAATCACTGGCAGATGGAAGATCTAGTTCAGGACGAGTTCTGATAAACCTAGAGCTCACAACGTCCTTCTCTGGAAATATTAAATCTATTTTATCCTTCAAGATAGATTAGGTTGATTAAATAAATAGATAAATTATCAACAATAACACGAGTGTAGCATTTTCTTTATTTTGTTTATTCTTTTCTATTCAATAAATGAAACCAAATTTCTTACCAAGTTCTTTATCTTAAAGGTAAACAAACCTGTAAATTTTAAAAATTCTTCATTTTCGCTGATTCTCAACATTTCATTTCTCTTCTTTTTCTTGGTCTTTTCCTCGTGCTTTGTGCTTTCCTTCCTGGACTTCTTGGACTTTTTCATCTTTATCACAGCCGGACGAAAATTTATTTTCGGAGAGGGAGATCGGACGGATTCCTTAAAAGGAAAACTTTAATGAGAACGTTTTTTAGCGAAAGTTAAAAGAAAGAACATCATTATCATTGAATATGACACAAAGATTTTCAAACCTATATTTTTACTGCAAAATAGGTTTTTGTTAATGCTAAATTAAGAATGAATACCTTGGTATCTAATCTGTTTCTAAGATCAATGGTTTTAATCGCGGTATTCCTCAATTCTATCTCTTCCAAGCTCTCCTCCCCTAAATCCTAAAAAATAATAAAAAAAAATAATAAAATTTAAATCCAGGGGAACGAAATGATGAGCAAAAACTTACCGGAGAGGATTCTCTAGTATTGTTTATCTCTTCTCCTTTAGATCCAAGTCTATTCTTTACCAGGCCTATAAATCAAATCAATCAAGCTTTAATTTGATTAAAGGGACTGCAGACGTAATTTCAAATGACTCCTAATTAATAAAATGGCATGTCCAATTCACAACGATAACATTAAAATCTTTGTATGCTAAAGAATGAATGAGATGTCTATTTTTCTAACTTTAAAATTGATATTCTCAACTGTGGTTTCTCTATAAAAGTTAGTTGCATATTACTTCTATAGTAAAACGACAATATCTTCCACATTACTAATCAGATAAAGTGAGGGTTACTTAAAGTTAGCAAGACAGTCCCTTACTATGCCATTGCCATACAAATACCAGTTATTTGAATAACGATGTCGTACAAAACATTTTCTAGGACAACAAAATATCTCCAAAGTTCTTAGATAAAAAGTATTCTTAACATTGATTAATTAAAGTACGATAACAGTTATCCCTGTTACCTAGTACTCCCAACCGTTTCTTTATCCCTCCGGTTACAGCTCTCCTAGCCAACCCTCCAGTTCCTGGTGGTACAACAACCCTCCTGAAAAAAAAATAATTTAAGCAGCATCGAAAATATTGAAATCTATATGATAAAACTGTTCGCTCATATATATTTGTATGTTAACTATAACTGGCCAAACGGCTGGAACGAATGGACTTATTTTTTTTCAAAAATCGAATTTTTATTTTAAATTCATTTTTTCTACGGACAACGCCGGGCACTTCAGAAAGTTCATAATTACAACGATGTACATTTACTTTAAAAAACCATTTCCCCCCCACCCCCTCCCTAGAGTCCCTCACTTTTAAAAATAATTTTTCCCCAGCATGTGAGGAAAGTAAAGATTTTTTTCTTAAGGGAAAATAAATGATATTTTGGGTAAAAATTATCAAAAAACGGTGAAAAAACCTGCCAATTTTTCATTTTCTTAATCATTCTCCCGCGTGAAAAGGGGGGATCACACTTGAAAATATTCTTGAATGGAATAAAGAATTTTCCGCACAAGTCTAGAGACCAATCATTATCCAAAGATTTTAATCTTTTTCCAAGGTTTTATAAGATATCGTTTCCCATCTGCCTAATTGAAAGAAATAATATTCAGTTTCGTTACCTAGGTTTATTCTTCTCTGCAGTTTCTGAGGGTACAACATGAACAGGTAGTATCTGCTGCAGATCTTCTAGTTTCTTCTTATTTACAATTATGCTTCCACAATCAGGGTGCTTCACACCTTCAGTCTGTATCTAGACAATATATATTTACAATTATACTTCCACAATCAGGGTGCTTCACACTTTCAGCTTGTATCTAGACAATATATATTTACAATTATACTTCCNGTTCTTACTTCCACAAACATTGTTTATATGTTCTTACTTCCACAAACATTGTTTAAATGGTTTTACTTCCACAAATATTGTTTACATGTTTTTACTTCCAAAAACATTGTTTGCATGTTTTTACTTCCACGAACATTGTTTACATGTGTATTACCTGGTGATGCCTTGGTTTAACATGCATGAAGGGACACTGAGTTTTCTGGCAGCCCATTGATTGCAGTTCCCAGAAACATTGCTTACTACTCCTCTCACCCTGAGCTGGGTTGGATAGCTCCGTATGTCTATAAGCACCCTGAGCAGGGTTGGACAACTCCGAATGTCTGAATGAACAGTTAGGTCGGGTGCATCCAACGGTCTAAAATATTTCAATAATATATTTAATATGTATTTGTATTTTTCATATCAATTCAACATGTTCCATAATCAACCATCCTCAGTTTACGGGAAGAGACAATGGTCAGGCAAATCGACCAATTTAAGAACTATTTTAAAGAAAAGTAACGATTTTATAACCAATTGTCGATTAAAAGGTTTAATAAATGCCCCCCTCCATCTCCTGCTTTAGAATAATGACATTTTGTTAGACACCGCCGTTTTGTATAAGACTCAACCAGGTACCGTACCTGCCAATAGTAGCATGTCACGTCGGATCCCCTTGCCGCCGCTTCGTGTCTAAATATTATACATTTAAAGGATGAGAAGAGAAGAATACGTTTCAACTTCTAACAACAAGGTTTTCATTTCTGTCTATGATTACTGTAGAGAGAAGATATATCAAATAAATTCAAACAAAAAATGCGGGTATGTGCTTAAGTTATAGAATGGTATTTCAAGCTCTTGATTAATATTGGGTTTTGAGCCTAAACAGAAGTGTGGAGATCGAGTAAATACAACTTTTACTGATTAAAGAAGAGAGGCTAAAGCTCTCAAATTTACTGGACAAAATAAGTCTTTTAACAAAAGTTAAAAATCATAATAAAAAGTTTATTTTCGAGTTTTAATGGGGGGGGTGGGATATTGATCAAGAAAATTTATAACATATTCAGAAGAATCAATTCTAGGAGGGGAAATTATTTTAAAGATAACTTCCTTTTATTTTTCAATCTCGTATGATTTAAAATATTGATGCCTTAAGGGACGGTATTCTTTAGTCTGTAAGGCTAGATTTTCAACAATAAATATTTAATCACAGATATCTAAATCTAAAAATTTATTATTTCTATATAATCTCTAGATTCATAATTACTAGAAACCAACAAATATATAGACCAGGAACGCCCAACTCAGATATACGCAAATTGTGTACTGTACACTGTGGGAGGAATGTAAACACAGCAGTTGAAGAGAAAGGATTAAACACTGATAAACAGAGTGATGTTAGAGTCAAAAACAAAAGAAACTAGTTAATATATTAAGTTAGTGCGGATACAAATTACTAGAAACAATCAAATACCAATTAATTTTCGAGACCTTTCATTTATTACAAGATGTTTGAAACCTCTGTCACTAATGATGAGAAGGAATATCCTGTTAATTTTATGATATTTACGATTCCCTCCCAGCAACTATAAACTGCCTTCATTCTTTGCCAAATCATTAGGAATACATTTAAGGCACAAGACTTTAATCAAACTGGGGATAGTCCTATTTGAAGACTTTCAAATCGTCTTTACAGTCTCATCCTTTGTTGGTAACCCTGTATAAAAGTACCTGTAAGGGCAATCATATCCCTTGGAGCAGATTGAGTTGTAATAGAAATAACAATCATCAGTCTTATATCCTGGTCCCATTGGATCTGAAACTAGAAAATATTATCGTATTAGATAAATCCTGGCCGGGAAACATGTTTAAAAGATTTTACTTTGATGACACGACCTATATTAATAAATGCTACTTATCTAATGAAAATGGCATCAAAGCTTTTGTAAGATTAATTCTCTTTAAAGTTCTTAATTTGTGTTGTAAATGATGGTGTAAATGGGTTGTCACAATGCTGTTCTAATTACCAAGCTAATGAATCTCCGTCATTACGAGAAAATAAGCTGATTTACAATACTAAAAGTATTGCTTTTAAAATAATCAGAAAACCTAAATTGATCTAGTTTATAATAGATCTAACCAAGATAATTATATTAACCACATGAACATCGACGAGACATGAAATTAACCTTTATATGTTAAAACTTCAAATACATCGACAACCTTAATCATTAAAAGAATTTAAAAGCAAAAAGGTAAAATTAAACAGATAAATATTTATGAAAATTTATTGATTTTTGTGCTTTATGCTACAGCTAGCTTCGATTTGCAAGAATGGCTGAATTGTTTCAAGTTTAAAAAAAATACAACTTTAAAGTTCTAAAAAAAATGGGTTTAAAAGTACTTGTGCCGTTCGCATAAAAACTACGGAGTTTTAAAAATATCAAGTTTCTTTTTGTATCGTGTATCTACGAATATGGAATATTTTCTTAACAGTATTGTAAACATGCAAGACTGATAAATAAAAACAATAACTAAATTATATGATAATATATTAATGCTCCGTTCATTAATCTGAATATTAAACAAATATGCAGAGGAAATGTTTCTCTTAAAAATTTTTTAAGGCTAAACATTTTCTTCTTTATTTTTAAGAATTATTTTTTCTATCCTTTCATTTTATCTTTCTAATGTGGTCTTTCATACTTCCTTAAATCATATTGTCTGAAATAAAACTTCATCAAAACATCAAATTATAAATTTTATATAATCTTGAATTATTCAAATAAATAAAAGCATATTAAAACTGTATACTATTAAGTTATCACATAGTACATAATTGTTAAAGGACTGAATGGTCAGATGCTTCTTAGCAGGAATACAGCATCTCTCTTCTCAGCAATTTTCCTCCAAGGAGAACCATGGCATGTACCCATCCTTTTAAGCTTGAGAGGATACAGAAAGCTTCTTCAAATGTTCCATAAAAACCTAAAATATTATATTATCTTTAGATTGCCTGAGAAAACTATTTTTTAGACCTGTTAATTAGAATTTTCAATTTTTTGCAGTTATATGTAATTCGAATTTGCAGAATTTCAATATTTCAGCGCGGTGTAGAGAAAAGCTTAAACCTGCAAAGGAAATCTGACTCTTCTTTTAGAAAGCCATTTTTTTAAGGATTTAATAGATCTTTGATATTCTCCGGGTTTACCTGAAGACTAACATCATCCGTTAGAACAGGAGCTCCATCAGCTCCACCCCAACCCTGGTTATTGTGGGTCTGACTAGGATTTACCTAAATATCATTTTTGATTTATTATGACTAATTATTGATACTTTTATTCTTTAATTAGAAATTGCTTGTAAAAAATTTAATTTTGGCTAAATAATTTTTACATTACGAAAAAATCTAAAAATTTCGTAAGAATTATCTTAGAAATTTTGTTATCCTTCATTTTTTCATTCAGTTATTATTTTTTAAAAAATTATAAAATAAGCGTCCAGTGCCTTACTTTAGATTATAAATGAATTAAAACAGATCTCACCTTACACAGAAGAAATCTAGCCTGGCTTCCACCCTGCTCGGTATCAATATATCGAGGAACAGGAAACCTAGTTTTCAAGAAATAGAAGTATATTATATATTTACACAATTAACTATCACCGAACTATTTTTAAAAAATTATATAATTTGTGATAATTTAATCTTGATATCCTCTAAATTAGTGTTAACACCATACCGAATCTTTAAACTTTTAAACTAAATAAACATGAATTAAGACGAGCTCAAAAATAAGAGTTCATTAATTTCAGGAGAAATATTGATTAGTCGGTCTTTCAAATTAGATAACTAAGTATCAAATCACTATATAAACATTTTTTTTTATATTTTAGACAAAAACTCTTTCGGAGGGACATGTAAAATCTGAATACTATCTTGATGATATCTACCCTTTTATTTGCATTTCCTTACATGATCTTTTTCAGTATTGAATTATAAAATTTAAAAACCTACCTTGTCAGAAGAACCTCCTGAGCATCTGCAATAGGAGCTTCAAGGAGCTGTTTAAAGTTCGCATACTCAGGCTGATTCTGGTATCCTGATATCAAACAAAAATAAATCTGATGTAGGTCATTAAATCAAGTCAAGGAGCCAGGGAATGTCTAACAGTTCCTTGATCTGCTGTGACATGCCAGCAAGATCCCTTCTAGATCAAGGCTTGATAAACCGACAAAATTTAGCCAAACGTCGGACTCGCGATCAAATTTGAGCCATTATACCGGTCTGAACACCTTCCTTCAGCAAATTACCAAAGAATTGCGTTGAACAAATATTAGAATGCTGGCGGGGCTAGTTTCCCAGCCGGGTCTAGTTTGCATCTGGTATCTCAGACATTTAAGGTCATGGACGAGGGAAAGATATAAAATGAAACCTTTTCAATTAATTATAGAATTAAACTATCTCTACCTGCAGCTCTCCACTGAGCAATAGTTTCTCCGTGAAAGATGAGAAGCTGGAAGAAAGTATCCAAGAGAAGGATCCGATCAGGCTGGATACTACTTGTATCCAGTAGTACAGGTTCGGGGGGACCCTGAGTAATATTAATTATTATTATTTGAAATAAGAAGAGAAGAAACACGTCGAATTAGTGACTTTCTCAAGGTAATCCCTTTCCCCTTATTAAACGTAATTATTTCTTTACTTAAGGACAAAAATTATAATATATAATTATTAATTAAGAGACTACTTAATCTGAGAAGACCCCGACGAGCCATCCTAACAGTTTCTTATGTCATATCGTTAAATGTTAAATCAAGTTTCTACCATAAGAAAATTCAAAAAAATATAAATTTTTCTAAATTGTTTATGGAAATAGAAAGAAATTCAGGGCCCGATCCGAATCCATTCATTAAAGGATGGATCAGCATCAAAATGAAATGGATCCTAAGCAAAGTATCCGAGTGTACCTGGAAACTGTAACTGTAAAGGATGGGTTGGATCATGATTAGGCATTGAGTAAGATCTTCTCTGTTCAAACAACCTCGGTAGAATGTTGTTTCATCCGGAGAATTATTGAACACTGAAAATAATTAGATTTAATTCGAAATCCATTTTGCAATGTTTGTGAAGGCGAAAAATATAGACTTTACGAACAAGACATGCTCAAGTTATTTAAAAGATTTTAATCAATTCTATGAAGTTTTTAAGGTTAATAAATCAAGATTTTGAAAATGATAACCAACGTCAAAGTTCCTTACCCTGTAAAAATTGTGATCTTCTAAGATGGAACATAAATTGAGGATAAAGAGAAAAATTCTCCGGTAGACGGAAACTATCAGGAGAATCCTAAAAATATAAGTTATCTGTAATTTTAAATAAAATTAATTTGAATCGATTTTAATTGAAATAAACCCCAACCTTGTTATATTCTCCGAACTTCTGACAGAGTCTGATTAACATCCTGTCAACCCATCTTAATACATCCGCTCCTTCTTCAGAACTCTCCGCTCGCCATGCCGCCATTCTAGCCATCAATACTGCCGCCGCCTCTTGATCAAAACTAGCGGCGATATGAGGCAGGGCGGTGGCGGGGTCAGCCCAGTTCCTAGCGACAGTTGTGACTCTCACTCTCCGTTGTCCGTTAGCATGCTGATATGTTGTAATAAATTGTAGACAGCCCCGGCCTCCCTGAGGTATAGGAGCTCCATGCTGGTTCGTCACCTCGAAGAACGTGGCGCATGTAGTGGAGGGATTGAGAGCACAGAACTTCCAGGAGCTAGTGTTTCCTACTCCGATCTCAACCTCAGAGATACTCTGATCCTTCTTGTTCGCGGAGACGGCGGGACCAATACTGCCACTAATCTTGATCTCTCTGGAGCACTTAATGTCAAGGGTGGCATTGAAGGCCATCTTAAACTCTCCTTTTGCGTCCTTGGAGAAGACTCTCTGGTATGTTTGCTTAAAGAGAGCAGAGTTGAATGAATCTCCCATAACCATGAAACCTCCGGTCTGATTACAACAAGATTTCATCTCCAGTAATCCTGTCTGATCTAGAGCACAACTGTAAAGATCAATTGCATGACCGTTCTCAGCTGCACGCTTAGCCAAGGCCTCGTAGTGCTTAGTCGCCTTCTTCAAGAACTTGGCCTCATCCTTCTCTATAGAGTGGTGAGAACGAATAGGATGCTTTAGCTCATCATCAACAACCTAATAAGAAACTTATTGAAAACTATTTCCCACATTCTTCTGATAAATGGTCATGATAATCTTACCTGTCCTGGTCCCTGGGAGCAAGATCCTCCAACAAAACACATTATCCGTCCTCCACAGTTAGGATAACTGCTCTCTAATAAACCAACAGCAATCGAGAGAGCCACTCCTGAAACAATTTAGTTGCTATTCAATTCTTCTACAGAAATAGATAAAAATCGTCAAGGACAGACTCACTATGTGAAACCTCTAGATATCCAATGTTTTACGAATATTGCGAGACATAAATTCAAAATTTGAGGGTGCGACATATTCGCACCCCACTCCCTTCCCACATACCAAATCAAATCAAGTTTAGATATAATATTGACCTGTAGAACGCAGAGGACGTTTCCCAGTATTGACGGGCCAAGGATCTCGTTGTAGTTCTCCAAGTAGATCAGTCAGGGACATATCACATTTATGAACTGGCTGAAGAAACTTGTTTGCCGGAGGTAGTGGTTGTCCTCCGGGTCCCATAGGACCTCCGGGACCTCGAGGCTGTCCAGGAGCTCCACCGGGAGCCGCTCCATGGCCCTTTGAAGTTCCAAGCATTTCTTGAACCTAAAATGAAAAAAATTGTTAAAACTTACTTTTTAACCTGAAACTACGGAATGATGATTAATAGTTTATATACTATTATTATTACCTGCTTGGCAGTGTAGTCCTTGGTTCCTCTGAAAACATAGGATCTACTGATCCCGTCACAGCAGAGCTCATGAACCTGAATCATCTTTCCATAGGTGATCAAACCTGAAATAAAAAATTTACAATAAAAAATTTCGGTACATTAATTAATGGATTTTTTCGAGAATTCCACAATAGAAGTCGCATATTCTAATCATACTAGCTTAGTTTTAAATATTACCAATGAGCGCATTCGGAGGCAATAGGGAGAGAGACATTTGAAGAGATTCTTTCAGAGCTTTCAACTCCTCCTCGTCAACACATGTATCCACAACCATCAGAAATACGGGGGGCATAACCTAATAAACAAAAAATTAATCCACTAAAATTCGAATGAATTCTGAAAAATGTCGAAACTAGAGACTTTGAAACCAAAATTATGATAACGGAAGAGCCGTCAAATACTTTGTTATGATCAAATCTTTGATCGGAAATTATAATGATGAAGGAGTCCATGAATAAACCTACCGGAGCTCTAGTAATTGTGTACTCTAGTGTACTGAACTGAGGGATGAGTTCAGCAGGTTGGTTCTGCTCCGATATTGCACTGTACTGGGGCGGGAAAGTGTTCCTGTTGAAACAAAAGTTGCACACCCAAAGTTTAGCTCGGAAATCAACCTAGAAAAAAAGAAGAATCTTTTTTTTAATAATCTTAGTGAAAGTCAAATATTTTTCTAAATTATGAAATTGAAAAATTTTAAAAATTAAAATAAAGTTTTGAAAAAAAGTAATAATCTTACAGAAATATTTATTTTAACCACTGGATTACCTGGCACATAGGATTGAGAACAGCTTTGCAAGTCTGACGGGCACAGGTTACAGGATCGTAGGTTATAGGAGGTAGATCAGGTCTCTCCTTCAGGGGGGTATACAGAGTAGCCAGGGGGACAACCATCCTAGAATATTCAGGAGGGTAAACAGGATAGCCATAAGGACAACCATGGGAAATACGTGTAAATTTTAACACGATAATGAGGTGTGATAATTAGTTTTTGTTCATACTTCATTTTCGATCATATCTCTAATTTGAAACAGTTGCCGCATTTCAGCTCTTGATTTCAGTTTTAAAACATCATCCTCATTTTAAGACATTTGCTCGGTGGATTCTCATTTGAACTACTGCCGTTTGAACTATGGTACGTTTGTACTATTGTTCGTTTGAACTATTGTTCATTTGAACTACTGACATGACGTCATATCCTGTAGTTTAAATCAACGCATTTCTTGCTCATTTGAACTATTTTTCTACCCCAATTCAGTTTTAAAATTTTTTTTATAATCTTCATAAAGTTATATTCATGACAATTAATTATGATAAACATTACACAGAATGAACATAAAAATAGTTCAAATGAACATAAAAAAGTTCAAATGAAAAAGTTCAAATGAACATAAAAATAGTTCAAATGAACATGAAAATAGTTCAAATGAAATAGTTCAAATGAAAAAAAAAATAGTTCAAATGAAAAAAAAAATAGTTTAAATGGACTAAAAAATAGTTCAAATGGACAAAAAAAAAAGGTTAGGTTAGGTTAGGTAAAAAATAGTTCAAATTAAACAATTTTTTTGTTCATTTGAACTATTTTTTTGTTCATTTGAACTATGTTTTTGTCCATTTAAACTATTTTATTGTTCATTTGAACTATTTTTTTGTTTTTGAACTATTTTTTTGTTCATTTGAACTATTTTTTTTATTCATTTGAAATATTTTTTTTCATTTGAACTATTTTTATGTTCATTTGAACTATTTTTTGTTTATTTCATTAATAATATTTTAATAGTTCAAATGAAAATAGTTCAAATGAACTAAAAAATAGTTCAAATGAGCAATATATTTACTCGTTTGAACTATTGTTCATTTAAACTACTCACGTGGTCCCACGTGCAGTAGTTGAAATGAACAATAGTTCAAATGAACAATAGTTCAAATGAACAATAGTTCAAACGGCAGTAGTCCAAATGAGATAGCATCCATTTGCTCAAATTAAAATCAAAGTAAATTGTTAAGCATTTACTGCATAAAAACTTGCGTAATAAAAAACAAGATTTTTAGAGAAAGTAAAATCTAAACTAAATTTAAATCAAGACATTCTATCAGTGATTACTGATTATGCATCAAATTCTTGATATTGACTTTTGATCTCGATATAAGGAAGAAGCCTACAACCCAATCTTTCAATGTGTGCCAATTTTTCGATCTTTCATTGTCGGAGTCTATTTCTCATTTTTCATTTGACTTTGAATAAAATTTTAAACCTGGGGTACGCACGGCAGGCACATCACTGGGGCGTATATTTTATATTGCTAATGATTTATGGAGATCAGGGAGGAGGGAGGGGAATGAAAAATTCGACATGAAAAAGCTAGTTTTCTCATCCTAGTTTATACTTTCTATCCATTTCGTTTATTTTCCCATAAAAGAAGCTGGCGCTAACCGGATGAAGAAATCATTTGCAAAAGACGAGTTTTAGGGAAAATATAAGCCCCTGGTATTTTAGCCTATAGTTTTATAATATATTACAATTATAAACCTGGTTGCCTCTAGTCTACTACTCGGCCAAACATTCCAGCTGACCCTAACTCCATCCCTGTCCTCTTGAGCCTGGATGAAGTCCTGGTAGGACTGCGCTGTAGACATATTACTGATTTCAAATCTAAAATAAGAGACTTCGTGAAGTTAAGTAAACTATTCTGTGAAAAATCTCAATCGATCTAATATTTAAATACATTATCTAATCAAACTTGTATACTCGTCTTATCAATAAAGATTTAACGATAATCTTGAAATCAACTTAAACTAAGGATGACAATTCTTAACCATCAAAATTTTTATGAAGAGCAAATAACATTCGAATCAGGAACTATTTGTGTTAAGAGACATTGACATTGACCATGGACATATAAACGGCTCCAGAAATTGGTTCTAACGATACGATCGCAAAACTTCGATAACTGTTAAACAAAGTTACTTTAGCAGTAGCATTAACACCTTTATTATCACGTTAACGATATTTCCATCACAATGCCATATTCTTCCAACACTGTAAGTCTGTAAAATGAATCAAGAAATGATGAAACTGAAACCAAAAGAGGTGACGTGTCAATTGTGAATTAGGTGAAATTTTACGCGGCAGTGTTAATAATTTGAATGTCTCAGCTAGTTTCGCTTCTAAATATTATTATTCAATTTTTCATAATTGAGATAAGGGACGTTCATGGGGCTTACATTTTTTTTTATTCAAGGGGGGATGCTCAGCAACTGTTGTCCCCCCCCAAAAAAACTGAAACCCATAGATTTCACTAAACAATTTGGAGGGGGCGGGGCTGAGCCCCCATAGTCCCCCCTTTGAGTACGCACCTCTGCAATGAGGAAAAGTAAAATCAATTTCTTAGTCGTGATTAGGGATTTCAGCTCGAACGAAAAATTTCTCGAAAAAATAAGAAATGTCTTCAAATTTCACAAACTTTCGCATTTTTTCGCGAAAATAATCATGCGAAAGGACTAGCTAATACGATGCGGAATTTCGAGAGAAAACAAATGAGAAAATTTCGCGAAAAATTGGGATTTGTTTAGTTTTATCATAAAATTGTCCCCAATATGCTAGAAACCTAGTCGTGCTACAAAAGTCACACTCGTCGCACGATGGTTACGCTCAGCTAGAGCACTAGAATGTAGATATATATACTATCTGAGGGAGCACGACTAAGCAATTGGGCAAAGGTGTTACCGTGTTACTAATGTATTTATCAACTGAAATTTGAATTAAATAAATGGTTTAAGAATGTAACTTCCAAGATTTTTGTATTATGTTATGTTCCGTTCGTTCCAACTTCCTTATCTGCCTATAATTTTAATTCTTGAAAGAACTCTAGTATTGGTTGTTTTTCTCTACATGGTGTCCCAATTAACATAGGAATTGAGAGACGACTTGAATATCGTCTTTGCTTTCCGAACATAGATAAATGACAAAGTGATTCAAAAAAATATTGAACTTCTGATGAGCTTTCAAAAATTTGGTCTACCTTCTTTGTATCTTTAAAAGTGACGGAGATATTAAACATTTTAACAGTTTTGTTGATAATAAACTGGAATCTGGACAAATTTCCTGATGTCTCCGTCAATTTGAAGATTGGAAAAATGGTAGACCACATTTTGGAGACCCCGAGACTAAACTTTTTGGTGTCGAATGTTTTAACTGTGATACTACAAAATCATCTTTACAAAAAAAAATCCCGCTTGTAACAAAGACTATTTAAAATTTAATTCCCATGTTTTTTGGAACACCCTGAATTAAAGAACATTCAGAGTCTGACCAAGGGTGTACTGGAGGTTTCAGCGGGATACGATTACCACGGGGTATCTTTAGATAAACAAAAGATCGAGATCAAACGTTGATCTCAAAATCCACAATTCAAGAGTTCCCTCTCCCCTCAGATAATATTTAAGATGAGTAGATTTACTAATTTCTTAAACTTACGTTTTACAATTTACATGATACAAAAGAAGTAATCTGAATCCCGTCGAAAAAATTTATTAGATAATTGAGAAAAATTCAATTTTTTAATCATCATCGTCAAACGTGATCTTAGATGCTTGCTTCATTGGCTGCCCATAGTCTCGGGGTACAAAGGCTCCGTAGAGCTTGTGTTCCTTCTTCTTGATGTTCAGGTCGAAGTTCATCATCTCCTTGGGAACGGTCTGGTTTGAGTCCTTTAAAACCTGCAGAAAATAGAATTATTATCATTAAAGTACAATATGAGTTGAGAACGCTCCTAAAACGTCCTAGGACTTGTGTTGGATTTGAAATGAAAGAGAGAAAGATTGTAGGATGGGGAATGGAGTTGGGAGAGAAGGAAGAATTGGTTATTGGTATGGGTGTAGCTTGAGATGATAGAATAGTATATATAGGAGGGGGTTCTTTGTGCTGGACTAGCAATTGTCTTTACTAATCAATCGATGAAGAATCTTAGAATTATATTTAACGAATACAGAAACAGGTTCAGTTCAACAGAGAATTTTATAGATTCTTAGCAACTCGCTTTGCCACGAGAATACTCGGGTCACACAGTTCTTTTCTTCTATAGGAGTTACATCTTGAATCCTTCCTCTTTACTGGTTCTATAGCGACTGTCTGGCCTGCTTTGTGATTGCCAGATTCAGGGCAAATTCAAGGATGGTAAATTTGATAATAAAAACTATTTTAGGCATAAAATAGATGTTAAAGAAAAAACATGAAAACATATTAATAACGTTTGTTGCAAAGGATCTAAACACCTCTTTAGCTAGGCTTAGTACACTACTGCATATAAACATGCACACAGGCTGGTTTTAGACTGGCTTGCTTCTTTCATATATTTCTAAAATTCATATTTTCTTGTCATTTGTCGTAAATGAAGCATGATAAAAAAACTATTGGGATCTCAAACAATTATCAACTAATGTCCAAGATATTGGGATTGGGCTTGGTTTGGGAATAAGGCATGAGAATGAAATAGGACCAATTGGGAATAGGTTAAAATAGGTTGGGAATTGGAATGAATATCAACCAAAGAGGAAGTTGGGATGGGATTCAATAAATGTTAGGATGATAAAAAAGATTGGTAAATTGGGAGTTGGAGTAATTGGAAAGATTGAGTAATGAATAGAGATGTTTTATGGGGACCACTGTACTAGAATAGAATAAGCAAAATATTGAAGATTAGTATAAAGATACAGATATAATAAAATACGTGTATAAAAACTATGGAGAATGTTAAATAGGGATGAAGACGACATTTTGGAAAGAATGAACGAATTATTGTCAAGTTAGAATGAGAGAGAGAAAAGGATATAAAAATCGTCTTTAGAATCATTTAATAATCCGACTCAGACTATAATTTTTTATATATTTCATTATCAGATAAAAGTGACATTTGAAATCAATTTTTGAGGTTGTGAGAAAGCCCTAAATGGTTTAAATGGTTCATTCGTTTAATGCTTAATAAATAACAATTCAAAGATTTGACAACTGATTAACTTTAAGCTAGGTTTATGTTGAGGATTCATGGTTTTGGTTTACGTTCATTTTTTCTTATTTAAACTGAACGATTAAGAAATAAACAAGTTTAAAATTGATGGACCGAGTTTTTAAAATGTTAATCCAAAGGATGAATATGACCTTAACGAGTTCTCCTGCTCTAGCTTTATCACATGTTTGGAAGAATGTATACGCTGTTCCTGTTTTACCGGCTCTGCCAGTTCTTCCAATCCTACACAAAAATAAGGAACATAAGGAAATGTAAAAATAACTAAAATCTCTACAATCATCTTTCTTGAGAAAACCATTTACCTCAGACAAAAATAACATTCTTATATTTTTCATTAATTTTAAATTGAACACAAAATCAAGAAAAAATCTTCTTTTCCTTAACAACGTTATTTCATTATTTTGACAACAAAGAAGTGCAACTCGATATAGCAACATTAAAAAGAACTATAATATTACTAGCATGGCAACCCAGCGTTCCTCATGGTACTCAACTCCCGCCGTTTACCCGCACTTGGTCGATTTTACCGGGAAACTAGATTTTCGCTCTTAAAGTCAAACCACTCAATTTTAACTCTCAAAACCAAGCTAAGAACACTACCGTGATTCTCCCGAGTTCCCCAATCAAAGTTTCATGCAAATCGGTCAAGGGGTTTCTGATGATCGAACAACCAAATAGACGACCATAGATTACTGCTTTATATACAGATAAATCCAAGGAGATATTGAATAGAAGGAGGAGGCGATAGGGTTTGCTGTGACGTTTTTGGACTGCTGAAGAACTAGTTTTTGCTTAACAACAATAATAAAGATTGTAAACAATAACACAAATGATAAACAGACATCTAGGGGGGGGGGGAACCTTGAATTTGATTGAAAATGTCTCTGTAATAAGGTCCTTTTCGTACAAAACTAAAATCCTTAACTTTTTCAATCTTTTTTAACAAGATAATACTACTTTCACAGTTTACTAACTCATGTTTGTTTACATTAGATCGGCTGCCTTTGTTATTGTTGTTACGCAAAAACTAGTTCTTCAGCAGTCCAAAAACGTCACGGCAAAGTGTACGGAAACCCTATCGCACCCCCTTATTCTATTCAATATCTTCTTGGGTAAATCTAATCTAACCTGTGAACATAATCCTCTATTGTAAGTGGAAATGAGAAATTAATGACGTAATCAACATCAGGAATATCCAACCCTCTGGCGGCTACGTCGGTAGCAACTAACAGCGGCATCTTCCCGCTCTTAAAGTTCTCCACCGCCTGTGACCTAAACATAACCACTGAGTTGATATTTATTTATTTTTGTTGAGTTTGTGAGAGAGAAAATAAATGTAGTTTTGGTTTTAAACACTTATTATTTACCTTGCTTCCTGACTTTTATCGCCGTGTATACTATTACATGCCCAACCCGCCCTCTGGAGGTTAGTTTCAATCCTCGCGGCCTCCTTTTTGTAGAGGACAAAGATAAGAATACGATTCTTTCGGCTCTTGTGATATTCCTAAAAGAAAAAATACCGGCTATGCTTTTGTTCTCAATTGTCAACCAGCAAATTTCTTTAAATGGCAATATAACACACATAAATGCTTCGTAATTTTTCTATAAAATTAAAAAAATACTATTTCTATTTATGAACATTAGTTAATTTTATATTTAAAATTCTTTAATTTAAACTTCTTTAATTCGTATGACAGTTAAAAATGTTATCTAAATAAACAAACCTTCAGAAGTTTGTCTAGTTTCTGTTCCCTGGCTCGATCCTCGATCACCTCAACGATCTGTTTGATCCTAGAGCCGGCTGCAAGATCGTCCGATCCTATCGTCACTTTGATCGGGTTCTTTAGGAACTCATGAGCCAGTTCTCTACAATTATGACAAACTTTTAGAAGAAAATACAATTATTTTTCAACTTAAAATTGCACCTTATAAGACAAGTACTCTTTTTTCTCATTAACACTTTTTTAATTATATTTATATTTTTCCAACCTAACAGAATCTGGCCAGGTTGCACTGAAGAGAGCAGTTTGCCGGGACTTGTGAGTTTTCTCAATAATCTTTCGAATATCTCGTTCAAACCCTGATCAATAATCACAAATGAAAAGCTGTCATTTGAGAGAAGATTTCGTTTTAACATCGTATATTCCACTCAGATAAATGCGTTTTAAGTGGAGAAATATTATTTAAGGAATCCATGAAATCTGAAATCAAAATATCTTCACCTGGAGGAGAAATTTTTGTAGAAAATAAACCAAAAATGGCTTCTTCATTTGCGTCCATTTAAAGGATCGAAGATTAATTAAGAAAAGTTTGGCAAGAATGTCAAAAAGTGATTTTAAATAAAGGTGAAACCATTTGTAAATGTAACTTATATGATAAAAATGTTCAGATTCTTCTTTCACTGACCCATTTCTTGAAGGTTTAAAAGAATGTATCTATGTTTTAAATAAAAGTTCTATTTTCCCAAGGTTATTTAAAGGTAATTTAAAAATAAATGAAATTACCTTGGTCCAGCATACGATCTGCCTCATCGAGAACCAGATAACTGACTTCACTCAGGTCACAGCATCCTTCCTATAATTCATAAATAAGCATGGAAACTAAATTATAGAAATAACATTTCAATACAACCAAACAATGTTAAAAGTGGATTGCCTGGACAGAGCATACACTTTTTCAAGAAGATTACAACAAATGCTTAAAGATCGAACTATAATTAGTCATGTTTTAGATGACATATAAGGGATTGAAGGGATCCTTGTTCTAGATCATAATTCCTGCTGAATCCTTACCTCCATTAGATCGATAAGTCTACCCGGAGTAGCCACTACAACCTCAACTCCAGACTTTAAACCATGACGTTGAGAATGTTTCGGAACTCCTCCGTATACACAGATACTACACATGTACTCAGGTTACATTAAAAATTAATGTAAAAAAAGTTTTTCAAACCAAAAAATGTTCTTTTCACGCCCCTTTAAAAAATAATTATAAACTGAATTACATAAAAATTCAAATTTTGTGATCATTAAAACTATTTTCAAGTTTTTAGAAAGTTGAGTATTCCTTCTGATCTTGACAATATTAGATGCTTCCTCCAGAACCTCCTGACTCTGCATAGCTAGCTCACGGGTAGGAGCAATAATCAACATCATAGGACCCTTCTTTTTGCCAGGCTCAGTCTACAAATAGTGTAAGATAAGGACGAAGAAATTTTTTGGGAATACTTCTTTTCAGAACCAGGCTAACATCGTTTTTTCTAGTTTGTGTTTTTTTTTGGATAAGGGGTGGCCGGGGGGAAAGTTCGATACTTTGTGACAACAAAATTTGTCTGCGTTTGGTCCTAATAATTGAGATAGAAGGCTGAAATTTTGACCTCCAAAAACTCAGAAAATACGGGAAAATAAATTTTTTTCTCTAATTCAATTATTTTAAGTTAATTAGACATGTTTTCATATTTTTTGCTACCACATAAGTAATGCGCTGATATAGACACATATATCCGACCTCCATTTTAACCTCCCTTTGATAATGACCTCCAAAAATGGTCAAATATTAAATCAATGAAAATAAGTCATGTGGGGTATCAGGTCATGTTTTTTTATGTGTGTGTCGATTCCATTCTAATACCCCCTTTTGACCTCGGATGATCCTGGAGGTCCTGACCTTCAAAATTTGCCTACCTCTAGAGGTCAAAATATTAAATCAATGAAAATAAGTCATATGAGGTATCAAATCATAAGTTTTTAGGTGGTCCGATCCCATTCATATACCCCCATTTGACCTCAGATGATCCTGGAGGTAGTGACCTCCAAAAATTGCTTGCCTCTGGAGGTCAAAAAATAAAATCAATGAAAGCAAGCCATGTCAGTTATCAACTCCTTCGTTTTTTTGGTGCTCCGATTCCATTCTGAAAAACATGTGATTTGATACCTCACATGACTTATTTTCATTGATTTAATATTTGACCATTTTTGGAGGTCATTATCAAAGGGAGGTCAAAATAGTATATGTAAATATTTAAAATTTACATTATACTGTATCCCCCTTAAAATAAGAGCCAAGAATTAATTTATAACAAAATATTTAATTTTATTATTAAATCCGTTCTGTTTCTTATTTAATTTATAACATTGAAAACAAATATTTACCGACATCCTCTCCTTGATGTGTGCCAGGGCTGGTATTGTAAATGCTAAAGTCTTTCCGGATCCGGTTTCCGCAATTCCGATAATATCTCTTCCTGATCCGAGCACCGGCCAGCATTGAGCCTAAAACAGAAGTTTAAAAGTCCAAAAATAATCTGTACTATGCTATATGGCAACATGGCGAGGATAAGATAAGAGCGAATTCAAGATAAAAAGACTGATTATTACTTGGTACCATTTATTACTGAATTTCAAAAAAAAAAATTAAGACCATTTTTTTGTATATTTTTCAAAGTAAAAGTTAAAAAACCTGTATAGGAGTAGGACGATCGAATTTGGAACAAATCTTCATGATTGATTTAGAGAATCCTAGCTCTGGGAATGTAAGGATGGGTTTAAACTTCTTTCTTCCTTTCCCAAACATGACGATATTATGTTCATCATGATACGCCTTAACCTCCTCCTTGCTCATACCGGTCGTAATCTCGTGCATTGAGTAAAAATCTTTCCGAAACGGAAGATTCTCTTCAGAGCCATCTTCGGATACTTCATCTTTGGCTTCAACCTCACTCTTCTTAACGACAGTTTCAGTTTCCTTCTCCTTGTTCTTCTTCTTCTTCTTCTTCTTCTTAGGGACAGGGGTTTCAACTGTCTCCTCAATTGCTTCCGACTCTCTCTTCTTGGCTTTATTAGATTTTAAGATATCCTCGTTTTCCAGGCTCACCATTTTGAAGAATATGACCAAACTAGTTCACTGAAAAGGATAAAATTTTTAAATTGTAGAAATTACTAGAAATCTCTAATTTCCAACTTATATCATATAAAGATAACTCTGTCGCAACACAGGGCTCAATAATAGAGAAACCCTGTGATTTTTTAAAACAATTAATGTTTAAATAATAGAGAAAGATTTTAACCCGCCCCCCNGAGGGCCAAAAATCGTATACTAGGAATATACCGCAAAGTTAATGAAATAAATACTGCATTTTATGATTTTTTTTAATATACGCACGCATGTGTTTATGATCTGAATTGAATCTGATTTTTCGTGCTGGCCTTATGTTAAGATGGCTACAAAAGTACAGTTTGTAAAAATGCCGCGTCTACCAACCTTTAAAACAATTAATCTTTTTTTACATTTTGTTTTTTACGTCTCCTCAGTGAAAAAGATGGATATTGTAAAAAATATATGGAAACTGTAAAATGTAACTATCGTTTTACTGATATATTTCAATTTTACCCTGAAAAAAAAACTTTAAACCGCGTAAAAACAGTTCCACGGTTAATGCCGCTGACAATTTTGCTGATGGAATCTAGTATTCATTCATTCATTCATTCATGAAATCATGTGTACTGAGTTTTGAGTACGCAAATACGCTTGATTAGAAATGTTAAAAATAACTGATAACAGGAAGCTATGCTAAGATTTAAATGAATTTTGATTCTCGTCTAACATATTGATAATTCATCGTCAACCAAAAACTAGATTGCTTATAAAGTGAAATGGTGTCAAGAGTTAAATGCCTATATTTTGTTGTGTTTTATGAAAACAATATGCATGCATGGCTTAAGTTTATTGGTTGTTACCCCTATCTCCTGCTTTCGTATTATTAAGAACAGTTAAATTCCTCAAAGTACGTATCAAAATCCCGTCATGCATGGTATTACTACACAATTTGTAATTTCGCTGCTGCTGGTACAGAATACATTAAATACAATTTATTTGCTGTCAAGCATGATGTTTAAACTATTCTAAGACTGAGAAGAATATAATAGTAGTAATCTATTCCAATGCTTTTTTATATTTAAAAACTTTAATTCCAGATTTGGAGTTGATCTTCATGCGATGTCAACAAGAATGTGGAAATAAACAACAAGAAATGCAAAATGTAATGGGCCGGAAAGAGAAAATTGTGTTTTATGTTTTATGTGAAAAAAATGACCAAACAAGTTATTTAATACAAATATATCTTTATAAAATCTAGCAAGTTCAGTTTGATTAATTAAAAGAACTGAAATGAAGAATAAATGTGATTACAAACAGCTCCAAGCTTTTGTTCTAAATACGGAGCAAAAAGGCGGTGCCATGAAGATCAATTGTACAAGTTTGAATTTAAGCCTCGAGGATGGCGAAAAGGGTTTCTTGAGGTCACTGAATGGCTTCTAGACTAATGCAGAGTATGGCGTATAAGCGATTCCCTAGACGAGGTTAGTTTAGTTTTAAGTTTCTGTTAAATTATCTAAATTATTTAATTTCATACACTGCACTGGTGATGATGTTTTAGACTAGAGGACAGGAGTATCAATATTTAAGAAAATATTGTTATATTGTTCTGGTTTCGCTTAGATACCATTTTGGTAATAAAAAGCGATTCTTAAACTGTATATTTTTTTCACTATATATGCTCGACATTTTTCACATGTTCATCGTAACTGTTCTTGAAAATGTTTAATGATTTAGACTCTTTAACATATTTTGGCAAACTGTTCCATGGGTTTATAACTCTGACAGAATAAGAGTTTTTTCTTATGTTAGAATTAAATTGCTTTACATTTAATTAAAACTACATTTGTCTTGTATTGACAGTCTATTCACTGTATTGCATGTTCAACATTGTCATATCCATGTAGAATTTTCCAGGTCTGTATTAAATCACCACGAAGTCGTCTGGCCTCTAGAGAGGACAAACCTACCTCAATCAATCTATCCTCAAAAGTTTCACCTCACAGACCTGACGTCATTCTTAGCTCTGCGTTGCATATTCTCCTGTAATTTGATATCTTCTTGTGTTCTTGTGACCATGCTTGCACTGCATACTCAAGGTGGGGTCGAACATACACCTTGTAGAATGGGATCCAAGTGAACCTGTTCCTGTAATGGAATGATTTGTTCCAGAACCTGGTTAGCCTTTCTAGCTGCAGCTACACACTGAGAAGAAGGTTTAAGAGAATCTGATATAATAACTCGTATATCTATCTCCTTTGTTTCAAGAAAAGTGGAAAACTATATTTTCCTCAAATTAAAAATAAATTAAAGTAAAGTAAAAAGTGAAAGTGAAGCATAAAAGTAGTTTTACGAGACAGGGTGTCAAATTTTAAAGGAAATACTAACCCCTGGAAGTATTTATAACCCTAAAAACCTAAAAAATTCAATGATTTTTTAAGTAAAAATATATTTTAAAATGGATACCCCCCCTGCGTAATCATTAACCCCCAGGCAATTCACACCCCTCAGTACTTCCCCTTAACGATACGTGTGCAACCACGCCTAAAGTTGTCTGTTGCTAATCGCCTAGACCATGTTCTATTATTGAACCCTGGATGTAAGCGCACCGGGTGTAGAGATACCGGGAACCTAAGTAAACCGTTTCCCTTGGTTGACATCCTTCACATATTGTGTACAAGTGTATAATTAAAATCTATTTTAGATAAAGGCTCGTCTGTAGAGGAAATAGAGCTTGAGGAAGATAAATCTACCGCTGAGCAGGTTCTGCAGATTCTTCTCAATGTCTGCATTAAACCTGGAGTCTCTGCTCGGAAGAAAGCTCTTTATCTCTCGGCCCTGTACAAACTCATCTCCTCCCCCTCATCCGGAACCTCAGATCTTGGTCTCAGGGTTAAAGAGATCATGCTTTGGTAGGAAATGTCAAGAAATTTGAATTTTACTCTGCAATGTAAATCTATGATTGCAAAGTAAAGCAAATGACCCTATCTAACTACTAACATTTTTTTGGTAACCGCCAATAGAGTTCTTTGGAAAAAAGTTTTCGGAAATAAAGTCCTAAGTTTTGGCAATATTAAAGTCTTGTGGAAAAAAGTCCTTAAAATTAAGTCCTATCAATTTCAGGATTTATTTTCTAGGACTTTTTTTCTTGTTCCAGTATGATTTTATACAAAAAAAGTCTCCGGAAAAAGTCCTCTTATACGGAAAAATGCATGAGAACAAAGTATGTTTACAACCATGGAAAAAAGGGGATGGATTCCTGGCTATATTCAATATGCAGATTGCAGATGCATAGAAGTAAATTCCTTTTTATGAAATCGTCTCAGACTTGACCTCATTTTCCCAAGACTTACAACTTTTTTCTTGATTTTTTTCTTCGGATATATTTTCTTCAGGACTTAAATTCCCGTGATCTTATTTCCTGAGACTTTATTGGCAGCCCCCATATTATTTTAGGAAAAAAAGTCCCAGGAATTTAAAACTAAGGACTTTATTTCCTGTGACATGTGGTCCTAGGACTTGGATTTGGGACTTTTTTACCAAAGTTTTGAGCACCTGCCGAAATTTGACATAAAATGTTTTGAGCTTCTTAAACAAAATCGATTCAGCACAAACGCATTCTAACCTCTAACCAATAAAATATCTTAATTGCGTTTTTGAACGGAAATCCAGATTTTTTAAAAACCTGTTGTTATTTATTACACTTGCATATGAAACTCATCTACAAAGACTCAAAAACCAATTTAGCTTTCATGATAACCCTTAAATTAACCAGTCAAAGCTAACTAGATAAGTAAGTTATGAAAAGTCTAAGCTTTTCAATCAATCAAAAAAATATTCTTTTTCAGTTTACGGCTCCCGCTTATTAGTGACGATGAAGAACTTCGAACCATTACAATGAGAATAGTTAGATATCTAATTAAAGTATGCATTTTCTCAACTATTAATCAAATATTCATTGTTCATGATAATTAATTGATTTAAGAAATCCCAAACAATGAGATCTTTACTTTAATCTTCTCGTTAATAAAGCTTTTCCTTAAAGATTATTATTTAACTTTATCTATATTTCTATTCTAGAATAATCAAGACGCTGTCTCTGTGATATCTGTGAACATTCATGTGCTTATTAATCGAATATTAGATTTAGATTCAGAGACTAGGTAATGAATAATGTTTACAAACTGAGAACAAGAATTAAACTATCCTTGGCACGCGGATCCGGATCCTGGATCCGTGCTGTAAAAACTGGATCCGGGCCCTGTTTATCAATAAGTCTAAGAATTTCTTATTTTGTTCTCTCTTTCTTGTCCAAAATTCGATTTACCATTCAATTATTAGGAAGGGTCTAATGATCTCATTGGTTGATGCTGAACTTATGTTTTCTATACGAAACGTCCATCAAGAAATGATTTCAGTTTTTGTTGCTGCACTATCTACATTCTGCAAGCCTTATTATTTTCTTGCATTTTAAAATAATATTAATGAAAAAAATCTAAAAGATGTGAATTGACATTTTTTTAAATTGGACCTGCCATAATCTTTCTTGGGGTCCCACAAAAAAAGGTGGGCCCCGGCGGTTCAGCCGGTGTGAATACAAACCAGCTGAAAGGCAAAAATATTTGTTTACATATTTTAGGGCTGAGAGAGTACAGGCTGTGAAACTAGCAAGAACATTACTAATCTTTGGACCGTCAAGCTTCCCTTTAACCTTGGTTAAATCCTTGATGGCCTTGACCCAGAAGGTCGCTAAGACCAAGGATTCCTTGCGGCGAGGAAGTCTTGCAGTTCTATGCGAACTCAGGTCAGATCAGAATATGATATAATAACGGTTTTCTCAGAATTATAAGATTTACTTAAAATTATCTGATTTTTAGTTCGCTGAATCCTTCCCTGTTCATATCCTCGGGTTGTGTTAAGTTCTTTTCTCAAATACTGTTCGACTGCGAGAACCTTCCTAGAATTATTGAGTCTTTAGTCGGTGAGTTGAACTATTAAATTTAACTTTCACTTTTAAATCAGAATTTGAGGAACTGAGTTTAAAGTGTCTAAACTGATAAAGCAAGAACGGAACAGATTTTAAGGGTTGAGGTAGTCCTGACATTTTTACTTGAAGCAGAAGTCAGAGCGACGTTGAGGTTTTTATACTAAACGACTATTTTTTAGGTTGCCTTTTACGAATTTACAATAATCCTAAGCTACGCCAAGAATGTCAACTAGATTTATCAAATATTATTTCTCCATTTACAGAACTTCATCTTCACTCAGGTAATTTTTTGTAAGATTTAAAAAAAGATTATTTTTCATCTTTTTTCAAATGAATTTACCAGAACTAACTCCTACTGATGAGAGTCGGGTTGCTTGTGCTAGCACTGCTCTTCTCTCCCTTCTTCGATCCTGGTCCGGACTCCTACACATCTCCGATCCTTTTCTTTCTACTCGTCCTCTTCAATCCCTAGTAGAGATACTGCAAATTCAGACCCACCAGGCCAGGAAGATATCCTACGAAACCCGGAAGGTGGTGATGGATATCATCTTCAAGTCCTTAAACCTTCAGGTAAGAAAATATCATAGATCTAAGTTAAGATGATGAATCAAAAACAAACTTGACAATTGTCCTTCTCCAGGTACCTGACTGGACTGAGGAGTTTGATGTTGCGATGAGAACTGCTGACCCCTCTGCTCCAAAGGATACCTGGAAACTAGGAGAAGGTTTTGTTGCCGCTGAGGGAGAAGATATTCTTCCGCATCTCTCAAAGTCTCGACCCAACCTTCTGGAGAACCACATGTGTGTTCTACTCTCCTGCTACTTAGAGTGTAAGCTTCCCAGAGCTTTAGTCCAGGTAGGTTTTTAAACCTGTTTTTTAATTATGAAGATTCAATTTTCTTCTAAAAAATTATCTTGAGAAATGATGAAAGGGACTGTCGACGTAATTTCAAGTGACCCTAAATTTAAAAAAGAGAGGCATGTTTTACTCACAACGTTACCTTCATCAGAACAATTTCCAATTAGGGGACTCAAGCAGTAGATTTAAAGAAGGAAATTGTTAAAATTAAACACTTATTCATTTAGAAAAATGATAGCTTCGTCGTTGTTGCTTTTATAACAAAGGTTACCGTTTTGAATTGGGCGTGCAACTATTTAAAAAGGTGGCCTCTTTAAATTAGGTTGAGCTTCCCTTTAAAGAGAATGTTCGCGAAAAATGAAAGGGAGTATAGGCTTAATGCGATAAAAAAGCGCTTTTGATCGCTACTAATCTTACTTCTATCTGTTGCGTCTATAAGGAGAAAATTGTTAAAAACGACTAATATCTTCGGTATTAGTCGTTTTTAACAATTTTCTCCTTATAGACGCAACAGATAGAAGTAAGATTAGTAGCGATCAAAAGCGCTTTTTTATCGCATTAAGCCTATACCCCCTTTCATTTTTCGTAAATACTCCCTTTAAGGAATACTTTAAATGTAAGTACGGCTTCTGGAAAGAGCCTAATATTCCTATGATTAAGGTGATAGTAAGCAGTGATACCGTCCTGTCAGTGCGTGCTACAGTTTTGTTAGGTCAGGTTCTTCATCTCGCAACCTTACTTCTTCCTCATGAGATAGGTTCATTATCTCAGTGCCTTCCAGAGCTAGCAGATCATATAGCAACAAATACTCAGGTAGAAACAAGTTCTTCTGAACTTAATAACTTATCTTTATCTTATCTTAATGTTTAGACGTTTAATAAATGTGAATCTAATCGAGCAATATCTGCCGTTACATCTCTACAGCGTCTACACACCTTGAAGAAACAAGGAACCCGACCCTACTCACTTCTCCTGGAACAAGCTCTTCAGTCTACAGGGCTAAACCAGGGAGAGGGGTTCGTTGGAGATAAATTGTTTATCCCGGCTCCTTCTCCTAGTGGTGCTCCGCCCTCTCAATCCACTGCAACTTCAATAGAGCTGGCAGTCATTGCTAGTATAAAGGAATCCCAGGTATAATTAATTGTATACTGTTTAATATTTCAAAGAAGATTTAAATCTGAAATTATTCGCAGGTTTTACCAAACCGGGATCCCCAATCTTGGCGATGGGATATCATCATGTCAGTTCTTAGATGGCCAAGCGATGGTCTCAAGAAGATGGAAGATTCAAATTTTAAAAATTTTATTAAGAAGTTGACAGATTATTTCAAACCCTCGGGGAACATGTTCAGTAGACTGGAGCTGGAGAACCCTAGAACCCGGGAGCACGGTAGGATTGGTTGCTGTCTTCTTGATTTCCTCATCTCTTCTACGTCCTTCGTAACGGATGCAGAGCGACGAGGTGTCGAGCCGGAGAGTTCGGTTCTGCTAAATGATTTACTCCAGGACGTGTTTGTTTATATTGAGGAAGTGATAGGTTCGAATTCTCCTCATGATTGTAGGTTCTCTCCAACCCGTCTCAGTAATACAGCTTGCCAACTCTACTTTCTATTCATAGGTACTGCATTCTTCCTTTTCATAGGTTTTAAATCATTTGGCTGTTCAATGTTTAAAAAAAGGTTGATGTTAAGAGAAACAGATATACTGAAGATTCAAAAAAAAATATTCATAACACTAAACATTTAAATACAAAAACGTTATTGTTAATTTACTTTTAGGACGACTGACTGCAACAGAGCAAGGTCGTGGTTTTCTGGAGAAACAAAGAGCTTTATCTCAGCTCTTGGTTCTTCTCACTTCAAGGATGGATGTTTATCTCAAGCTTATTATTAGTTCTATTGATTACAGGTTAGTTAATTTAAAGAAATAAGTTCAAAAATGTTCAACGCATGTTCTTGCTAAATATTTTGACAGTCATTTGTATTTGAAACACATAATCCTAATTTTTAAATATTTGACAGAACTGCAGATTGGAGAATGCTACTGAGCAAAGCTTTGTCAGGAACATCTGAAGCAGGACGGATTTACACAATCAAATGGTTGAGAGTTCTAGCTAGGATTGGAGCTCCTAGCTTTGCTCAGTACGGAGTAGAACTCTTGGTTGAGCAGCTTCAGGGAGAGTCCTTAAAGGTAAGCATGACACAGTGCGCTTGAACAAAATCAAGACTTTTAAATTGCCTCAAAAAAAAGGTTGGTGGGGTTTGAAAATGAAATTAAAATCGTTGAGAAAAATGGGAATCCTTACTCTTTTCATCGAAATCTTTTTGAGAAAACTCATGTTTTATAGAACTACTTGTATTAATTCCAAATGCTTTAGGTTTTCCCTATTTCAACCGTATTTGAGGCCAGTTAGAACATTGTATTACCTGTAAAAATTAAAAGAATACTTGATTTTGTGCCAAAGTATATTAACACTTTCAATTTCATGTATCTTGTTTATGTCTAAAGGTAATCATAATCAAAGTTCATATAAGGTTACTACTAAATTTCATATCTCAGATTCCTAAAGAGATACTTTTGACTGTAAAAGCGCTAGCTAACGGTTCAGCAAGGGGGCAGATTCTCTAATACCGGAAATTTTGACATAGAACCCACCTTTAGGCCTGTCCTGCCATGATTCTTTCTTATCTAAAATTGAGTATTAGAAATGGGCACAAATTGAAAGACTGGGTTTTTGGAATCCCGGCCCATATCCAGAGTAAAAGTGGATAGTAAAAACTATAACCAAAATCTTATTTAACATGACGAGAAAAACAATTGCCAATTATAAACTTTTTTAAAATCAAAAGTATTAAAAAACTGTTTGTTTTTATTTTCTATTTTGTTTATATTTTTCCTGATCGAAAAATCTTCTTTTGTTACGTATGTGCGTAAATGCTTAAAAATTGACATTAATAAGAATTCCGGTAATTGTTTCAAAACCAGGATTTGTTCCAAAAACGCGTCATGAGCTAAAATCCGATAATTGTTTCGAAATAGGGATATGTTCGAAAATCAAATCAAGAATCATCAAAAAGTAATTTTCACACCTTATTATAAGTTTATAATTGAAATTTATTGTTTCAATATATAGTTTTAGCCAGTTCTTATAAATATATGGTGTAATTTTGTTCTACTCGCCTTTGGATTTAAAGATATATACGATTGAAAAAGATAACTTTGCAGATTTGGCCCATTTCTAACACTCGGTGTTAGAAATGGGCCAAGTGTTAGTTTTGGAACTAATATCCCTTGTAATACGGTCTACCATTTCCATAATACCACCTTTACATCCGTCTTACTAATCCATTATACCATTTCAATTATCCCACCTTTACATCCTGCCTACCACAAACCCGTTCTACCATATTTATTATCCCACCTTTACATCCTTCTTAACACGAACCTTGCTAACCCGTTCTACCATATTTATTATCCCACCTTTACATCCGTCCCACCACAAACCTTGCTAACCCTTTCTACAATATTTTTTATCCCAGCTTTTCATCCTTCCTAACATGAACCTTTCTAGCCCGTTCTACCACATTTATTATCCCACCTTTACATCCTGCCTACCACAAACCTTTCTAACCCGTTCTACCATATTTATTATCCCACCTTTACATCCTTCCTAACATGAACCTTGCTAACCCGTTCTACCATATTTATAATCCCACCTTCACATCCGTCCTACCACAAACATTGCTAACCCGTTCTACAATATTTAATATCCCAGCTTTACATCCTTCCTAACATTAACCTTGCTAACCCGTTCTACCATATTTATAATCCCACCTTCACATCCTTCCTAACATGAACCTTGCTGACTGCTTCGTTCTCAAATAGTGATTATTTGATCTGATCCAACTAACGTATATTGTGAGTTCTATGGTACAGGATAAATTAATGAACGTAATTACAAGTTTTATGTAGTTATTTACAAGAGTAGTTAGGTTTAAGGAATGATAGGTTTTATGTAGTTGTTTACAAGCGTAGTAAGGTTACAGAGAATGTTTAACTTAAAATATCTAGGAGTGTTTAGGTTTATAAAAATGGGGTTTACTACATAATTCTTACAATCCTGTCTAGGTTTCTGCAACTGCCCTGGCAGTACTTGAAGAGGTCTGTGATGACAAGATGTACCTGGAGTCCCTGGTTGCAGCCAAGTCAAGTCTACTAAGCGAACCCGGGCAGAAGGCCTTGGTCAGACTTGGAGGACGCGGAAGGATCCTCCTCACAAGGTTAAATTTGTCTCAATTTTTTTGATGATTTTAATCAATTTTTTTACTCGCCAGGAACTCCAGCTTAATTATACAAACGCAGAAACTCGATCTTGTATTTAATAAGTATTCATTAGTTTTGATCAGACATACAAACAAACTAACAGATAGACAAACAAACAAAGATCACTACTTTATACACAGGGTGTCTCTGAAAAAAGTGTGTTTAGCTTTTTAGCGTACTAAATATCGTTCAAATGTGCTTTAAAGTGCTGTAACCAGGTACTATACACACAATGGGGGGGGGGTCGTCGATGAAAAAAATTTCGAAGATTTTAAAAAATAAAAAATAAAAATTTATCTCTGCTTTTTATAAGAAAGAATGAAATAAATTGCAAATTTTCAATAGTAAAATTGAGGATTTTTAAAACAGGAAGACGTAAAAGATTTCAAATTTTTTTAACTTCTTTTGAATAGGTAGCGACTACATTTCGAGTACATTTTAAAGGCTAAAACGTAATTTTAGATTATAAATTTTAGTTGGCTAAAAAGCCAAAACACGCTTTTTTCAGAGACACCTGGTAAATATACAATATGCATTATAGATAAATAAATTAGATACAAATCTTGCAATTTTTTAACGAGGTGTTTTATAAAAAAAAATTTATTATCCCAATTGCAATTGGATTGGGATGTGGTCATAGGGCGTCCTTAACCGTTTGATTTATTGATTGATTGATTGAAAGATAAATTGATTGAGTGAAACCAGAAGGCTAGAAGAGTGTAGCTACTTCGAATTAGTTGTAATCCCTGATAATGTTCTAGGGGTTTCCCACATAAATGTGAGGGATTGTCTAATTTATTAGAAATGATTTATTGAAAACAAATATTCTAGGTTTCTAGGATCTGGCAGCGGGTTTAACCTAATGTCCAGCAACAACTGGTTGTCCAGTGAGCTGGTGGTATGGGCAGAGTCCTTCAACTTAAAGTATGTGATCCTTCTCGAGGGAATTATTAACGATGGTTTCACAGAGCACCAAAGGTTAGTTGTTTGGAAACGATTTTCATTTAAGTTATATAAATTTTTGGATTTTAGTAGTATAATGGAGCGTTTTGGTGCCCTAAAATCAACTTCAAGGTCCCACCTAAGATTTTTTTGAAAGCATTTCCGATACTGTTATTTGTTAAATATTGTTTTTTTTTGTGAAGATGCAAATCATCTCTTCTCCCTTTCCCCTTCTCTCTCCCCCTTTTTCCCTTCCATCTTCCCCTTTTCCTTACCTCTTCTACTTTTCCCTTCCCTCTTCCACTTTTCCCTTCCCTCTTCCATTTTTCCCTTCCCATCCCCCTTTTTTCTTCATTTTTTCCCCAAACCTGCCCCGCCCCCCTGGGGAAAATAGTTGTATAAATGATACTAACTAATTAGTTTTATATCAGAGATTTGTATGGACACGGCGGATATGGAAGAAGAAGTGGTGATGGACGAACTGCTAAGGACGTTTTTGTTCCATCTCATCTTTACGGTCAGCTTGCCCAGACAAGGTTAATATCACCTTTTCTTTACTTTTAATTTTTATAACCCGACCTTGGTTTCTAAAAATATTTTTTTTTTTTAAGATCTGGACTAGATTTATTGCTTGAAGAAAAGTCATTTTGGGAGATGATCCAGACTCTGCGAGAGGTTGAGAACTTATCTGTCTCCTTGACCCACGAGAGCCTGGAAGAAACCTGGTTAAAGATCAAGGCGGCCATCTGGGGTTTAGCTCATGTTGCAACTTCTCCAATAGGAAGTGCTGAACTGGAGAAGGAAGGAGTTCTAAATCTTCTCGTAAATATTGCTGAATCCTGCCAGGTTCTAACCATCAAGGGAACCGCCTACTATGCTCTAGGTAAGATTTAAAAATAGAAAAATAATGTTAATATTCAATAATTAGATATAAAGCGTTTTTTTTACTTAATATCTATTGATAATTGATACTTTATAGGTCTGGTCGCAACCACACGAGTTGGAACACATGCTCTGGGGATTAGAGGTTGGGCAACCGTTCGTCACGCTAGAACAGAAACATGGCCGATTACTTACGAATGGTTGGGAGTAACAGACAATCTATTCCCGGACGTATCCGATGCCAATAGATTCGGCGACGAGAGTCCTGTCCCGTCAGAATCATGGCCGGATGAAACTATTTCCTGTGAGCTGCAGTCCTACCCGGAGCGGAAACAGGTTCTTAATGTTGAGGAGCACAAGCAAAGACGGGTTAAAACCATGAGTGAGTGTACGGATAGTAGTTTATCACAGAACATGCTGGAGTTAGGACCAAGTCCTCTTGAACCAGGATTCCCACTGCCAGGGAAACTTTCGGAGAAGATTTCGAGCTGGTTTTCTACCTCAGGAAGCGGGAAAAACGAATCGAAAAGTGAGGGAAATCGAAGGTTCTCCGATGGTGGGAAATCAGGTTCAAGTTTCACGAGCAAACTTAGAAACAGTTTGAGAAAGCGAAGTAAAACCATCTCTACAGGTTAGTTTAGAATTACCATTTAACCCTTTAGTTTTTTAAATTCAACTTCTTAATATTCTCGTTTAGGATCTTTACCTCCAAGTAGAGAAGGAACACCTTTGTCAAGCGTTGAACAGAGAGCAGACGTTTCTGAGGATGGTTCTGGAATATATAAGAGACGATTGAGTTTTAGTTTGAAGGAACCTTCCGCTCCAGGTCCTGCTGCCAGTCCAGAGAACCTACCTGGAGAAATATTCTCCCTTGAGAATATATTGGAGGAACCTGGAGCTTCAACTGCTCCTCAAAATAGAGCTTCGTCTGCTCTTCAGTCTGCTTCTCAGAATGGATCTTCGTCTGTTATTCAGCCTCATATTACAGCTGCTCCTCAAAATGGAGCTATTGCTGTTCCTCATCCAAGAACCTTCCATAAACGGACCAAGATGAAATCTGAGTCCGAGATGGAATGTATTGATGAATCTTTTGATCCTAGTACCACATCTAGTGGAGGGCAGCAGATGGAAACCTCTCTGACCTCCAATACATCTTATCAGATTTCCGACACCAGCATTAAAGTTCCTGACATCAACAGATCTACTGATATTCAGATTACGTTTTCAGCACAGAAGTTCGACACAACCCCAAGTTCTATACGTCAAGGAACAAGTGTTAGCAGTGTCAGCTCTATTGGTTCCTTCACATTTCAAGATAACTATGGACAAGGATCTTTAGTCCGGAGTCGGATCAAGCGTAGACCGGAGCTGAGTGAGTCCGAGGATGGAGATACTATGTTGACTCAATATCCTCCTGTTGGTAGACAAGATTCATACAACTCAAAGACTAAATCTCTAGACTATAGAATGATCCGAGGAGGAGGAAGCAGGAAAGGAGTATCCGAACCTTCCAATTTACCTAATAAACCTGCTTGGATAATGTCAAGGTTTGACAACTCCAAGGAACCTTCCTACTGGGGTATAGCCTACCCTCTCTTTCATCAGGTTCTATACCCTGAGACGGAGGATAGGATTCCTTCTCCCCGGTCTAAGCTGCATGGTATGGTAGACGCCTGGTTGAATACTTCAACACGTCATGTTCCTTCCTATTGTTTATCTTGCTGTAGACTGCGCCCGTCTGTCCGACCCAGAGCCACATCACTTACCGTCTCAAAGGATGATCCACGGTAATATATTTACTTTTTCGCATGATGCCGTAAATCATTTTATAGTTCATAAACTTTGTTTTTTATTTATTTACAATATCTATAAATGTTTTGTTTTAGATCTTCTATTCTCCTCTCCTCCAGCTTTCCATCCTCTCAACAGAGTCCAGAGGTGAAAAGAAAATCGTGGAATCCAACCAAAGAGACGTCGAAATCCGACTCCAACCGTGATCTGGACTCCGATTCCTCTGATATTCCCTTGAACTACGAGGACGCCAAGGACGAGGTTATGGACTTCATCTACCAGCTAAACTCTGTGTTCCGGTATAAACAGGCGGAGGCCGGCCTCTCACGGTTCAAGGGAAAATTCCCAGCACTCTTCGAGGATTTATGCTTTTACAGCGATGTTTGTCATGTTCTTGGAGAATATAATTTCAGGATTAACGCGAGAAAGTTTATTCAAGTTCTTTTTAATTCACTAGATATTAGTCAGGTAATAACAAGATCATAATTTTATCAATTTCCAACCAAAAATTTTTTATTTATAAATAAGTCAATAAAAACATTAAAACAATTTCTTGCAATTGCTTCAAGCGCTTACCTGAATATATTCTCGCCTATTAAATAAAAAACTGATTTCAGATGGAAGCTGAAGCCAGAAATATTCTTAACCCAGGAGACCCTTCATGATTAATCCTTGAACCATCCTACATACATTACATCTAGTCTAGTATTCTACAGACCAGCAGTTCCTAATCAGGATCTTGTACATTCTTACTCTAGTTAATATCAACAACACTGCCATTGAACCCCGTCCTGGAAAACCATTAAACCCTGGTTGAACCCGTACCAAGTCTACTCGACCACTGGCAAATATACTCCCAGTGATACCACTGACCTACTGCCGAATCAATACCATTTACTCTACTGAGCTCCACTGCCAACTTAAGAAAGTTTAACCAACCCTAGGGATTGCAATGATCAGATTTGAAAAGAAGTGAAAACGTTACAATGACGTCATTGGTTATTATAAAATTTTTATATTTCTATATTTTGAATATTAAAAATATGTAATGAATGTAATCATATATCCTGTAGTTCCTACTCCAGGCCTACGCCTGAACCAGTTTTATTTATTTATATTTGTTAATGGATTATTTCTGAATTATAATTATTATATTTAGATGCTCGGCGGTTAAATAAACTCGGGCAAACAACAACAAATCTTATTTTTGCTTTATTTTGAATGTTTTTTAAAAATTTTAACAGGATTTTGATTTGATTCTTTTTTATTTTAATTAGGTGCTACTAGATTGTCTGATGTCTCCTCTATACTTTGTCAATTGCTAGAACCAAGAATGAGTTATTTTCGATTTGTTAAACTTTGGTTATCGATAGTTTATATCGTCAAGTAAAGTTGTAGACACTGCAGAAAAAATATTATTTCAGTTGTGATCTGTTTATAAATTTATTTAATATTTTACGTTATCCATTAATATTGTTAATATTAGTTTTCAAAGTTTTTCAACTCCCCCCCCCCCCTTGTGTGCCAACCCAACAGACAACAGACCAAACAATTACAAAGGTCCTTAACTAAGATAAAATCCTGTATCCTTCCTTTTGGTTTCCCTACTCTACTCATCATGAGATATCCCTGTATCCTTCCTTTTACTCATCATTAGATATCCCTGTATTCTTCCTTAGGGTTTCCTTTCTCATCTAATCATTAGTTGATAGGATCATTTAATTTGTCTTATTATTGTACAACTATATTTTAAATCAATAAAAAATTACATCTGTATATTTTGAGAAATGATTTTGACGTGGTAGAAATTATTATAAATTACATATAAGAGTCTGGGGAAAATCCATTTTGAAGTATGAGATACTGGATTCCAAATGATAATTTCATGTCGGGAAATCTATAATTAAATAAATTAAAACATGAGTGGGTTAATAAGTAGTTTTGAATATTTTAAATACTTACCTTATGGAATAGTGGTTAGATAGTTGTAATACTTGTAATTATTGAAATTCCACATGTTTTGCGCATTTCTTAGATTCTTTATGATGGTTCCATGGATATTATTAGTTGGTCTACTAGCTTTAAAGATTGTTATTTGAAGTTCGTTTTCTTATTATATATATTATTATAATATTTTGAATGGATTTCTGCTTAGCTATTGTAGGATTGATGTTGTATAGATTGCTGCTTGGTTTATTGTAGCATTGATGATGTAAAGATTACTGCTTAGTTTATTGTATAATTGATGCATGGATTGCTGCTTGGTTTATTGTAGGATTAATGTTTAATGGATTGGTCCTTGGCATATTGTATGAGGAATCATGAAGTGGTGCTTGGTTTACTGTAAAATTGATGTTGTATAGATGGCTGCTTGGTTTATTGTAGGATTGGTGTTTATGGATTGGCTGATTGGTTTATTGTAGGATTGATGTTTTATGAAATGCTGCTTAGTTTATTGTAGGATTGATGTTTATGGATTGGTTTATTGTAGGATTGATGTTTTTGAAATTCTGCTTGGTTTATTGTAGGATTGATGTTGTATTGATTGCTAATTGGTTTATTTTACGATTGATGTATGAATTTGGTTTATTGTAGGATTGATGTCTTATGGATTTTTTATTGTGTTTTCCTGGTATTCCTCTGTACCAACCCAGGTACCCTGATACACTAAGGGCTGGTCCTCTGTACAAAATATGTAGACAATTATATAAACTATTATTACCATTCTTTTCTAATTAATCTTCATCAGATCCGAGACAGAGGAAATGAGTCTTTGGAACAAAATCAAATATTTAAACCTCAATATCTTTAGATATCAATGTTGTAAACCTTTGATATTTCAAACTCAGATTATTTGATCTAACTGAATTCATAGTTTGAAATATCTAAGGTCTGCAACATTTGGTTCCAAAGATGTAGGGATTAGAAAATCAGAGTTTGTGGTAAAGACTCAATTCCTTTTAATATCATCTTTTTTCCACCATTCTATAAATTTTTATGATTATTACTATTTCCAACCTGTGCTGACTTGAAACAATAACTTCTCCTCCAGCTGAATACACAGAGCTTGAACTGTTATATCAGTCAATAAATAGGAAATTTCAAGTCAAGCGTAATCATGAATTATGGGAATCAAATTTGAAATCTCGCATTGGATATTTGGGACACTTAAATCCTTAAAAATACTATTTGCTTTTATATTTCAGGCTGTTTGTTCATGCAAACTTATTGGTATGTATTGTATGAAGAAATGTTATAAAAAACTCTTCACTTTTTAAAAATTGTAAAAATTTTAATGGTTGATAATAAATTTATTAACCACAATATCGGAGTTTCACCAGCTCTGTAACCTAGATATGCTGCCCAAACGGAGAATGTTCCATAGTCAATTATTGAATGATTGCACTTGGATAAAATCGCTGATAAAATTTAAACTTAATATACTTATGAAGAACTGAGAGTTTAGAGAAAGAACGAAGAAAAAAGAAATTTATGAAATTAAATCTCAATGGGGATGGGGACGTTTTTAGTTTTTTTTAAAACGTTTGATAATGGTTAGATAATCAAACTTAACAAATATACCAATCAATTAACTGCTCTTAGTTAATTAATAACTTTTTTCATTGGTTAACAGATTTATCCGTCAAATTCCATAAAATTTTGTTTGTTAATCATTTAATGTGAAGGTTTTGGTCTCAATATTTAATAGATACATATTTAATGTAGGTTTAACGAAATTGTCCGTTAATTATTTTTAACGGTTCATCCGTTCCATTCAAATTTCCGTTCCCTAGTGGAATTTCTGTGGTCCTATTTCTCGATAGATTTAAGGGATGTAGAGTAAAGATTGAATAAATCAAATAGAATCATAAATCAAATTCCTTCTTTATTAACTTTGACTTTGCTCAATATTTCGGAGAGAGAAAGTATGAAAACTGATTGCTACTGTTGTCTGAATTGTCAAGATTTGATTAATTTTGACAAATTAATCATAATAGAAATATACCATTTGCAGATAAGAAAAGACATTACAACAAAATTAAATGACATTACAAAAATTTGTTGTTTTGTGCTTTATAAATTAATTTTAAAAAAACTATCATTTACTTTAATTTATCATTCTTCCTCACTTCATTGTGAATGTCAGAATGAACGTGCTATAAAGTTAAATTATCTGTAAATTATACCACGTGTGCTATAAAGTTTTGGTTGGTTCAAAAAATTAGGATATTTCCAAAATATTATTTTTCAATTGAAATCAACGTTTTTAACAAAAACGCACGTTTTTGCTAAGTAAAATGTTATTTTTCAATTGAAATCAACTTTATATTTTGACTTCTGCTTTGTTTAAAAGCTTATTTGATCTAAAAATAGCCATTGAAATAAGTACACAAACGTTTCATAAAATTACCTATATCACTGTTATTTTGGCACGACGTGCTATAAAGTTTTTAGACTTAAATTTTCTCTATATCTCGAAGGTTCTCGCCTTTTTATATTATATTTTGTCCCTCGCTAAAGCTCAGGACAAAAGGCTTAAACCTTCCCGATAAAAAGAAAATTTCTGTCCAAAAACTGTATAACACTGCGAACCAAAATAACAGTGTTATAAATAATTATTCTTTATGTTTTAATCTTTGTTGATTTTTAATTCCCATTTTTTAACCCAATGGTGTCCGAGACCGATATTAATGAAATTAGAAAAAAAAATTACATTTTCTCTAGATTTCTTCAGTTTTCATAGAAAATTGCTTAGAAAGAAAAATAAAAGGTGGGAGTAAAAATTCTTTAAGTTAAAATTTCCTAAATCCAGCTCCGGTGTTCTTCCTCCTACCTAGAGATAAACAATAAATAAATGAGTTCTTATTAAAATCAATGATCTGATGCAACATGATTTACGTATTTTTTATTAGTTTTTTAATAATGACAAAGTGCGTTTTGATTTTACACACACAGGTTTGAGTGAAACAAATTTATATTGTTTCACATAATAAGAAATTCAAAACAATTTTGTTATTCTCTATAGCTCTTCAAAAACAGGGGTTCTGATTAAAACGTTTAAAATTTCGATCTTGCGTACAACTTAGCATAGTTTGGCGTGTAAAATGTTGCCCTTTGTCTTGTTATTCAAAAAAAGATTAAAACAATAGAAAATTTATCTCCTTTGTGCAACTTACTTATTTTTTTAATTCTCCCAGAGTGCGGGGTCATATAATTATGTTTGAAGTTTTATTGTTATGTTCGAACCAACTACATTACTCTAATTAAACTAAAGTATTTATAAAGAACAAGATTTAACCCGCCTTACTCGTTAGCCTTTCGTAAAAGGACTAATGACGTAATTTCAAGTAACTCTCAATTTCCAATTCACAATGGTATTCTTAAAACCGTCATATCATCAAGAATAAATGTGATATCCTAGTTTTTTTGTGTAAAATGTGATTATTTTCAATTGTGGTTTCTCTGTAAATGCAACTTGTGGGAGCGGGGAAAGACAGGCGGCCATAAGCCACAACATTTTCCCCTTCCATGTCACAAATTGGCTTTTTTGTCTTCCGTTAGCCATAAGCCACAATCGTTCAGTCTTCCACATGCCACAACATTAAAGCCGTGTTTAAATTTAGTGCAAAAAAGCTAATATGTGGCATGGAATGGGAAAATGTTGTGGCTTATGGCCGCCTTCCTTCCCCCGCTCCTTGTGGATATATATTAACCGAGATGATGGAATGAGGGGTCAGAATTGAAGACTTTTCCAAGACAGAAAAATGATGATATCTCATTTAATGTTTGAAAGGCGCAGTGATCGTATATCAAACATGCCTCTAGCTCTTAATTAAATGAAAGGTCACTTGAAATTACGTCTGCAGTCATCGCAGTCCTTTTGATGCGTTGAATATTATTTGTGAAATCTGTTATTATCTTTATTAAATTGTTTTCAAACGAACTTGTTCCTGACCCGATCTAAGAAATCACATTAGCCCCTCCTCCCTTTATTGAAAATATTCAGTAGTTTTGATTTCTAACAAGCTTTTGTCAAATTACAGGTTTACAGCAAACATAGAGAAGCTGTTAACTGACAGCTTTTCTTTGTTTCTATATATTTATGTGCAAACATGCTGTTCAAACAGCTATGTTGTAATCGAAAAATGAAACCGAAAGTTGTCTGCATTTATTGATATATACGACGACTGTAATTTATTGCCTAATCTGGATTTAAATCAAGCTGTCTGCTTGTATTTTTACCATGAAAACTTCCTCTCCGACCAGGTTCTCTTCACACCATGGCATATCATCACTGGAGACTAGAAACCGTGCTCCTGGATACTTGACTCGAAACCAGTTCATGGCATCCAGGTAAAAATCAGCTGATAATAAATCATCGCCATATTTAGTTTTCCGGAACCTAAACACCTGCCTTCATTAGTCTATAGAGAACCAATTCAAACTGAACTGGGCAAAAGTAGAGAGAGAAGTTAAATTTTTGAAAAATTAATGGGACGACTTTGTCACCGCCCAAACCCTCTAGCTTTGATTTTAGGTTCAAGTATGAGAAAATCAAATTAATTTGTTTACATATTAGAAATTCAAGACATTTTTGTTATTTTTAAGCTCTTCAAAAAGTGGAGTTATGATTAAAAATATATAATGTTTTGACAGTTGCTTTCTGCATGCTGCAGGGATCGGATATCTCATAGCATAGAAAATACACCAGGAATATGTGTTTAAATGCTGAATCAGTTTGAATTTAGTTGCTGACTCTGTAGTATTTAAAGCACAGTGAAGTATTTAAAATATGACCAGATACTAAAACCCCTCAACCCTTTGTCTGAATCTAAGCTGGAGAATAGAAGTAGTACACTCCAGGATCTTATACAGAATAGATGTTAGACCCATAGCTCTTCATATATCTGGAGCAGCAAGAAGATCCAGTCAGATTTAGGATTCCAGGTGCAGAAGATAAACCTGAGACTGGAGACGCTGATCTTTACAGATAGCTCTTCATATATCTGAAACAGATCCAGTTAACATAGCAAAGACTCTAGGAACAGCTCAAAATCCAAGTAAGGCTAACATAGAAGAGACTCTGGAATAGCTCTGGGAGCAGCTCAAACTGTAAGTACAGCTAACATAACAGAGACTCTAGAAGCACCTCTGGAAATGCTCTAGAAGCAGCTACTATGATAAAGGAAGCAGCTGGGAATGTAGTGGAGCAGCTGAATGAGATATTGAGTTGGAGAAGCTACCTAGATAGGTACTGAACTGGAGCAGCTAAACAAGATATCAAGTTGGAGAAGCTACCTAGATAAATACTGAACTGGATCAGCTAAACAAGATATCGAATTGGAGAAGCTACCTAGATAAATACTGAACTGGAGCAGCTAACAAGATATCGAGTTGGAGAAGCTGGCTAGATAGATTCTGAGAATGGAGACTACACTCATTGTGGAACAGCTCTTTACAGACCTGTTGTGGAACCACTAGTGGAACCAGAGGATTCTGAGAACGAAGACGCTACTCATTGTGGAATAGCTCTTCACAGATCTAATGATGACAACATTGAAGATAACAAAGATGATAATCATGATGATAACAAGATGACAACAATGAAGATAACAATGATGATAACCATGATATTAACAAGATGACAACAATGAAGATAACAATGATAATAACAATGATAATAACAATGATGATAACAATGATGATAACCATTATGATAACAATGATGACAACAATGATGATAACAACAATGAAAACAATGATGGTAGCAACGATGATAGCAACAACGATGACAATGATGATAAAAACGAGGATAACAATGAGTGATAGAAGAAGCTACTCGGACAGATCCTGAACTATAGCAGTTGAATATATCTTAAGGAACTTATTAAACATAAATAAACGTTACAGATATAATTACTAAATAAGCTTTGAAACTGATCAATCCCAATTAAGTTATACACTGAGAGATCTGGAAGGGAGGTTATTAAAGGGATTGATACTAAAACAAGAGGACGGGGATCTAGAGTTAATTATTTGCATACGCCCTATAACCATGGGTGCAGTTGATGGATCTCAAAAATCCCTAGGATTTACATCTGGCTTGTAATAGAAGACAATAAATCATTATTACAACTCATCTAACGTGTGTGAACAAAACAAAGTGCAGAAAAATAGGAAAGCAGGCCCCTCAACCTAGTGCTAAAGTAAGCAGCTTGGCAACCTACAAGGATGTCCCAAAAACTTTTTTTTCAAAATTAGTCGAAATATGAAAGATGTACACAAATAAGAAGAAAATGAAGAACAAGAAATATAGAAATGTCAAAATATTTGCATCTGCTATCATTTAACTATTTAAAGAATATTGTTAAAATTTAAAATTAAAAATAATATGTAAAAAATTATAATATTTTGATCGTAGTGCAATTTACTTCAGTAGGACATGAATTGCTAGAATACAGGAGGCCTCTAATCAGTATTGATTGTGCATACCTCAAAATTGTTTTAAATTCGGAATAATTAATAAAAACTTATATAGCCTGAAATTAACATAACAATTTATGTCATGTTCAAGGGTTACAACCGGTTGGGGTAAATACCTTTCATATTGAGGCTGTATTTTTTATCTTATTAAGTGTATCAACAATTATTAAGTAATTATACTTTTTTCTTCAATTTTTAAAAGACAGGTAAAACAAATCTCTAACTTTCATAACTTGACCAGGTCCATATATAGTTATATCCAATCGTAGCCAAATCAATATTTTTGAAATATAAGAATTTTTTCAAAAATGTTCCAAGCCATTTTAGATTATATTTTAGTTTAACTTTTGTATTCCCTCAATGTATAGTTTCTACCTGTGATAATCATCTCTACGAACATGAACTCCCACAAGCACAAGGTCAAGTTGACCTGCAGATATATTTTTCACAACCTTTACCGCCTGAATTGTTCAAAGAAATTATTCTTTTCTGTACTGAGCTGGGAACTCTTGTACTGTGGATATCGAGAACAATACTTCATCTCGATCTTCTGTTAATTTTCAGATTAAATCTTTATTCGCATGGTATTTGTACCCTGGTGGAATAACTGAAATGGAGAGATTAAGCATTGATCCTCAAATTAAAAGTTCCCACAATGGATATGGAGATCAAGCAATTTAGATTATCTATAATAAACACAAAAGTTCCCATAGAGCTGCAGCTCAAAGATATTATTTAGAATATTTAGAAACTTTCAGGATACTGCCATAAAAGGCTTAAACAGTCGCTCCCGACTGGGGTTCACAATTCTCAGTCGCCTTAAATCCGGGCGATTATTTTTTTTTAGGAAAAGAGTCTATCGTCGATCTTCCTTTACATCTTTGTGAACTGTTTATGACTTCAACTTTCCCTTCACCAACATTTTTTTGACATTTTCTACAAGACAAACATCTATTTTTACCTCTTCCTCTAGCTCCTCAACAAACTGGAATAGATTAAAAATCTCCTTCCTGTTCCAACCCTACCATTCGCACCATCTTAGGAATTATATCTTTGTCACAAACTCAAATTTTCTAATCTCAATATCTTGGTGTAGACCTTTGATATTTTAAACTTTAATTATTTGACATAACCGAACTCATTTTTTGAAAAATCTAATGTATGCGACATTGGGTTTCAAAGATATAAGGATTAGAAAATTTGAGTTCGTAGCATAGACTCAATTCCTTTAAAGCGATATAGGTAATTTCCTAGAGAACGATTTTTGGAACCCCCCTGGCCCGCCCCCTTCTATCAATTTTCAATCAATCATGCATCTCATATTTAACACAAGGATTAAGTTAGTCGTGGCCGCAGCGCCCAACCCCCTAGCCTGTTCTAGCCGCCGCGCTCGGCCTCCTAGCCTGTCCTAGCCGCAGCACTCGGCCGAAAAAGTGTGTTAACCTAATAACCTAACTCTAAAAATATAGTAATTTTGTTAAAAATTGTTGAAAAGTTCATGTACAAAATAGTTCTCTATGAAAGACCCGCGATATATATACAACCGGTTTATTTTGTCCTTTAAATATTAATGATTATATGATAGTTTTCCTAAATGGTTGGAGAGCGTATATTTTTAGATTAAGTCCTTCCATTAGAACGTTGGGATGAGATAAATCCATCTTGGAGCAATTCTGTTCTCCGACCTGAAGTATGCAACTAAGATATATGCATCATATATGTTTAAAGTTAAGTTGTTAAACTAGAACTAAGTTTTTGACACAAACTAAGATTTTCTAATTCCTATATCTTTGCCACCCAATGTCGGAGACCCTTGATATTTTAGTTTGAAATATCAAAGGTTGTAAAGATATAGAGAAAAAAATATTTGAGTTTGTAGCCAAGACTCAGTTTCTTTAGGTTTAAAATCAACACATAAAATCTAGGTTTAACATCGAGTCACGGAAGTTCGTAGTAAGATTTTGACTCCACTGGAGACCACCGGAGGGAATTCATTTTCACTGGAGGGAGTTCAAATTAAGCGCTAAAGTTATGACAAAAGGTGCATAAAGTGCGTTTGAAGCTTAATCATCAATAAATATGTATGTTTAAAGGGACAGTAAAGGAAAAATGAAAGGGGGTATAGGCTGAAAGCTAATCACTATCATCGTTTTCAGATTGGTTGCTTATTTGCTGAATATGATCTGTTTAAACCTACTACTTTTATACAAAATTGTATATATATTTATTTTCGTATATATTTGACACAGTTTTATATCAATTTCTTGAGGCAGGAACATCAGATATGACTTTCATGGGTCGCGATCAAGAGCTAAAGTGATTAGCTTTCAGCCTATACCCCCTATCATTTTTCCTTTACTGTCCCTTTAAGTAGAAAAAGATAATTACAAAGAAAGAATTTTTTTATATATATTTTTTTCTCAAATTATAAAATCTAGCCACTGATTCAAGCACATATAAGAATTTGAATTTAAAATCCAGGATTAAATTGAAGAAATCCAGGTATAAATTTTAGATATGCATATTCTAATATGCACATCTCTCTCCACCGAACCCACTATTTATTTGGTTTAGATATCACTGCAGCTCCTGCTGCTGCTGTCAATGCAGTTCGCGCCAAAAAGTAAATACCATAAAAAGTATAAACTTTAAAACATATTTTATTAATCATGATCAATTCTTTAAAAATATATTGAATGAAAACACCTGTAGTTTCAGATACTCAGAAAGTTTCCCTTTGTTACAAGATTCCTGAGAACAAAACAGAATAATTTGAGGATTTTAAACCAGTTTTAATAATACATCATTTATCATTATATTAACGTGATACTAATACGGGGGGCCGGTGGGTATTTAGCCACGAAAGAACTGAGCTAGAATGTTAAAAGGGTTAAGCTCCCTAGACAAATTCCTGAATATGCCTAGGAAAAGGGGGTGCTAAGATCCAAAAGCCTTGTTAAAAAAAAATAATTAAATTTAAGAAAAACCTTTCACCTGTTCGGCCATAAGTTGATCCGCACTATAATTCTTCCAGGTTAGATTTGAACAGTTTTTAATTGTTTTATCAGAATATACTTCAGAAGTCTTTAGGTTCTAAATAAATACACTCATTTAGAAAATAATTCTGTCATTAAGCTCTACAGAATCTGAAAATGCACGAAAAAGCAACAAATTTTCAAGAAAAACTTTTAGAGCGGATGGTTAATGGTTATTTTACTTACTTGTCTTTCTGTTAAGAGAATCGTGGGTCTCGTGAGTTGGCTGGTCAAAAGGCAGTAATAAATATTTACACTACTTTACAGGGAAGTTAAGGAAATTATACTTTACCTAGGGTTCCGAGTTAACCTGTGGTTAAGTAAAATTTTAAATTTCCCGAAAAAGTAGTTGAACACAATTTTATCTTCTTTTGAAATGAAACTTCGCAGAACTGGTGGTTATTTTACATAACAGTCCCAGGGACGTTTTATAACCTAATCTTCTTTGTTGGGGGAATAATAGGTCGGTCATGTTGGTCAAAAGACCTTAAAAAATTACAGCTGAAGTTCTTTATTAATGAAATATTTGGTTTTTAAACATTTTTGTTGATACCTTCTTAATTTTTTTGGAGTAGAAACTTGGAGGAATATCATGTAAGAGTAACATTTAAGAAAATGAAACTCTGATATGAATAATTTGTTTAATATTTTTTCATTTCTCAAGGAGATCCTCGGAAAGTTAAGAAATGTCTAATTCAACTTTATAAATAATGTGAGGGTGGAAAATATTCTATTTTCTTAGTAGTTTTTTTATCTTCTCTAAATCAGCATTCTCTCGTAAGGTCATTATCATGTTTTTAAAATATTTTTTCTTTCTGAATAAGGATTTAAAACAATTTTTTTCACCTTGAATATTTTGCTGAGTTTTCTTAAGTGCTTTTCTTGCAGTATTGCCTGTTAAATATAAAAATCGGACATTCTCAATATCTAATTAAAAGTGTATAAAGTGGAAACCTGTATTTTCAAAAATTTATTATACAAATTTAAACTAAACCATTTATATATGTATTTATATCTTTGTGTGTGAATAAATATTTATAATATAATAATAATAATACAAAATTAGAAAATTTATCAGCAAACCTGAAGTTTTAAGGAAAAATATTCATCTTGAATTTTGGAATTTAAGTTGTTTATTTGCAGAAATAATAGACATTTACAAAAAAATTCAAGTACTAAAAATAAAACAAAGATTTCTGCAAATATTTCCTGACTTTTTATCCGGTATTGGCGTGGATGCCAAATATTTAAAATATGATACTCTTAATATTAAATTTATATAAACTAAAAATGTCAATTCTTTTCAATAATGGTCTGGTTTTTATCGTTTTTCTTAGTTCCGTTTTTGAATTTTGCTTTTGTTCCTATAGATCTGTCCTCCTTTCTGCCGAATGTTCAGATAAAAAAGATTGAAGACACATTTTTTAATTCAATGGGAGATTTCATATTTAAAAGAATAGACCTGAAGTCCATATTTTTTGCCAAGCGCCCAGGCAACTGCCAAGCAACTCATCAGGTTCCCTAACCTTCCAGCACACTTGCTTACTGTACAGTTCACAATTTATTATTTGATTCATCTACACTGTACACTGTTCTCAATATACTTCCAGCACACTTGCTTTCGGTACAGTTTACAATATATTATTTAGTTTCATGTACTCTGTGCACTGTTCTCATTGTACTTCCAGCACACTTGCTCACTGTACAGTTTACAATATATTATTTAGAATTATGTACACTGTACACTGTTCTCATTATACTTCTAGCACACTTGCTTTCGGTACAGTTTACAATATATTATTTAGATTCATGTACACTGTATACTGTTCTCATTATACTTCTAGGACACCTGCTCATTGTACAGTTTACAATATATTATTTAGATTCATGTACTCTATATACTGTTCTCATTGTAAACGTGAAGTGGGATGGACCACTGTAAAATAATCAGGAGGTGAAGGTCTAACTCAATTGACATTACTGTTCCTACTTTGTGACTCCGTTGCTCCTCTCGTTCTATTTTTTTGCAAGAAAAACTAAATTTTTCGATTACAAATTATGAATTTAAAACAATTTTGTTTTTCTCAATAGTTCTTCAATAAGAGGAGTGATAAAAAAAATAAGATTTCCATCTTTACTTTAGTTTGACGTCCGGGATGTAAAACAAATAATAGGAATGGACATTTGACACAACTTTGTAATCTTTACAAATTGAAAGCGTAAACATTTGATATTTCAATCTTAGATTATTTGATCTAACAGAATTCATAATATAATAATAATCATAAATCATTTTGGACAATTATATTGAGTAATTCTCATACTGCACAAACGTATTTTTTCTTTATTTTGAAAGTTTTATCTAATTTTTTTATACCTAAATATGGTTTTGTCTGGTATGAGCATGTATTTTGAGCAGTTGTGGTGTTTAATACGTCTTTTTCCATATTTTCTTCAAAGTTATGACGCAATCTGAAAGTTTTCATGTTAACGTTTTAGATTAAAACAATTTTGCGCATATTTCTGTCCATTTTTTTGGTATTTTTTTCTCAAATGAAGCCCTGAAGTTTTTGTGCAGGGGTTTATTTTTAGGGTAAAATTGGCCCCTTTTCTGGCTAAATCATTAATGAACTAGCATTTCGGTTGTAATCAAGATACGCTTTTTTCCGAAATGTTTTCAAATTTTCAACAGTTTTTAATAGCTTGAATCATTAACTTTAAATTGTTATAAATATAATAAATATCTTAAATGAAGAATTTAGATTAAGGTATTTTTTATGTAAAAAATTAGTTATTAAATTATTTAGCAAAACAGTACCTTGGAAGTTGTTGTTGAAGTTTGATGTAGATAATGATAACAGCCAGAAGTATTACAGGAATATATTTTATCAGCAAACCTGAAGTTTTAAGGAAAAATATTCATCTTGAATTTTGGAATTTAAGTTGTTTATTTGCAGAAATAATAGACATTTACAAAAAAATTCAAGTACTAAAAATAAAACAAAGATTTCTGCAAATATTTCCTGACTTTTTATCCGACCCCCCCCCCCCTGCACGGGGGGGGATTTTAAGAGGGCAAGGGGGTTGACTGGTTTTGTCAAAATACTCCTCATTTGTCTTTTTATGGTTAGAATTGACAAATTAAATGAATATATTCTGATAATCTTTTCATCTTCAAACATTGAATCAATTATAGCTATAGCTATGATTTATAAATACTTTTCCCGTTCATATATATTAATCTCCCCATATACAAAATATTGCGAACATTTAAAAGGTCTGTGTTGCAAAACTTCAACTCATAATTACAACGACAATTAAAAACTTCTCTTAAAAAAAATTGCTTTTCTAGAATTGTTAATCAAAGGATGAAAACTATTTTTTAGAGAAAATTATGTACATGGATTATTTCTTGAAAAGTATTTATATCAAAACGGAAAAGCCTAGAAAGGGCGAAAATCCACAATTTTCCTGATAGATTGTAAATTTTACCATTACGACTAGAGGAGTTTTTACCGAATATTTCAAAACATTCTCAGTTTCTTTAACAGTTAATTTATCAAACAAATAAGAGAATAAGAAGTTTTCAAGCGGCAGTATTAAAAAATCGGGTTCCATTGATTCAGCAGTTTTGACGTTTATTAAATCCAAACAAACCAAAAAAAACACTCTCCACTAAACGCTACTATATCTTTGGTCAGAGCACTGCAGATTACTACATACAGAACACACCGAAAGCTTGAGAGTGGGACACGTACAAGTCAAATATATACATATACAGAATAGACATAATACCTTCTGCTTTCATTGTTCAACTATTGACTATTGACTAAATATAAGACTGAATAGACAGATGTGTTAAATATAATACGTATGTACTATAACACACTCTTGCATTTTGCTTTAAACCCTTTCGCACCGAGAGTCCATTATTGACTTTGCACTAGAAAACCGAAAGATTCTTGAAAAAGCCATAAAATCCTCAATCCTCATTTGTACTCTTGCATGAATAAAAAATATTCGTTAAAAACGTCGTAAATAACGAGGATTGAATAAATCATTCTAACTTTAATTGAGGGATCAAGCGTGCTTAAGATTAACAATATCCCCAAAAAAGCTTCGATAACAATGAATATATTTTTAAAAAAATATTCCAGATGTTTCTTTAACACAGTTTGAAATATTAATACTTAAAAATAACTCAACATTTATAGAGTGACCGATTCTATTGTATAAAATGTTCTCATTGTACTTCCAGCACACCTGCTCACTGTACAGTTTACAATATATTATTTAGTTTCATGTACTCTGTACAATGTTCTCATTGTACTTCCAGCACACCTGCTCACTGTACAGTTTACAATATATTATTTAGTTTCATGTACTCTGTACAATGTTCTNTTCACAACGATACCTTTAAAAGCTGTCTATGAACAAGAATATATGAGATTTCATCTCTTTAAAAATTGTAGGGTATACAGCCGTCCTGGTGCCATCGGTTTTAGGACTATTTATAACCATTTAAAGTTTTTAGACTTAGGCTCCACTAAAATTTGAGGTGTGAATCCTTATTCATATTTGCATGCTATGGACAAATTTGCTTTTATTAAACATTATACAAAATGTTTATACTCTGACCAAAAATATTAACCAAAACAAGTTTCTAAACGATTGCTAATTAAAATTGTTTTCCGTTTTTTGTTTTTCGTTTTTAAAAATCGTTTTGGCTAATTTCTGTAAGCAAAGAAAAAATTCGCTTAATGTAATGAAAGAAAACTTTTCGAGAATACAATTTTGCAATGTGATAAATAACTCACATTTTTGTGGAGCACTTTTAACGTCAAAAATTCTAAATATCCCAAATCGGACCTCAAAAAGAATCTCGATATATAAACCTAAAAACGGACTTTAAAACGAACCTCAAAACGAACCTCAAAACGGACCTCAAAAAGAACCACAAAAGGGACCTAGAAACGGAATTCAAAATGATGCCCATCAGTAGGTTTAAGGTACTCTGATTCAGAACATTTTAATAATATTTTTAAAACAAAATTCAAAGCGTTTAACAAGCAATCATGAAGAGATTTATAAAACTATTTTATCTAGGAACTGAACAGATTAATGTGGCACAGATCAGGATTAAACATGTCGCTTAGAAGTCTTAAACTCGCCAAAAAAAAACGAAATGTGCAAAAAAAATTTAGTTATTTTCTAAAAATAGGTGAAATAGGGTACTAAAAGTTTTTTAATGTTTTCTTTTGCTTAAAATTCTTTTGTACGCTGCATCGGAAAATGTTCCACAAAATGAGAAGAAATCAGAACGTTTTGTCATAAAACCGAACATAAAGGGGCCGGTACCGATATCTTTTATTGCCAGAAAGGTCGAAATCCTAGTTCCGGCCCCCCCCCCCCTCGGATGATGGCACTCCTCAATCAGTTGTCTAATTTATTATCAACTACCCAATTATAATTTATGACCCGTTCCCGTATGCGCGCCCCTTTCACTTTTCATGCCGTGTTCTATTCAGCATTTTACAGAAAAGCAATACAAAAATTTTAATGCGCGAAACAATGTTATGTTAGAAATAGAGAGTTTTTAAAAAAATTAAAAATTATGAAATTTATAATTAACTTTTAGATACTATAGTTTAATTTTATATTCAAAACTTTTTTTTAGGACTTTGACAAAAAACATCAAATAGAGTAGAGACAAAGGGACCGTCCCTTTGCGCACGACAATTCTGAACGAAAAATCGGCTTTTTCTCCGGCCACAGTCGTCTTTGAAAAGTTAAGACCATCACTAATCAAAAGCTAATAAGCTATTTAGTTTACCCCAAAATTATCCAAATAAGTTAACGGTACCATTAAGGAAAGTATTTCAAAACTAGCCTTTTATTTGAAATTTTGATAATTCATAAACCTTCCCTGGGGCCACGTGAGGTCCCACACAAAATTTGGGCCTGATCGATTCAGCCGTTTTGGCGTTTATTGGACACAAACAAACAGACAAGCTAAATTTATAGATAGATTACGAACATAACGTTAAAGATTTGAAAATATGTGAGACATTCCTAATATTTTGTTTCTAATTTCAAAATGGTTTTGGTATGTTCGAATTTGAAAAAAATGTCAGGGGTTTCTACTAACAGTGTCAAGGGATTTAAGTGTGAACACCTTAATTTGAACTATTTCTATCTTATATAAGTTTCTTGGCTACGTCACGTCAAACTGAATTAAATTGCACTTAAGATTAAAATTCAAAATATTTACAATCACAACTCCTTTTATTTATGAGCTATTGAGAGGAATAAACGTGTTTCCTACTGGAGCTGCGATGTCTCAAAGTTGTAGCAGTAATGTCGCATGATTTTTACCTTCTCCTTCTGTCTGGTTTGCAGTGTGCTACGTCACTATATTAGTCTAAAACAATACTATAGATCTTATTAGTAATCTAGAAAGTCTCTATATTCAATCAGAACAGGGGCGTTTTGTTTTAACAATTAGTGAACTACTATTTGGTTTCATGAATCTGAATATACTGATTAATTAGTGTCCTGTCCTGTATCATTAATCATTAATATGATTACTCATTCATATTCTATACAGCTCCTTTCCGCACCTTCAGTCACACTAGGAAAAATCACAATATTTTTATTTTAAAATTAGGAATAGGGGGACATTTATTGAATACAACGGATGAAACTAAAAACCGTGGTTCGAATAACTGTGCCCGGAAAAAAATGTTGACTTTTATTATTTTTGGAAATGAACTAATTTAAACAGAGTTATCCACGAACATTTTTGTTTCTTGCATTTGGAGAGTTCAATGAAAAATGGCGACCAACAGAAAATTCTATTCAGATATATCCTTTCCACAGCTTCACATGGAAAAATCTTACGATTTTTAATTTAAATTTTAGTGGGCATATTTGAATTATTAAAAACCCTTGTTCAAATCTTATTTAGTATTTAGGCGTTACACCAGGTACCACCATATCTTTGGAAGTATTTAGGCGTTACACCAGGTACCACCATATCTTTGGGAGTATTTAGGCGTTACACCAGGTACCACCATATCTTTGGGAGTATTTAGGCGTTACACCAGGTACCACCATATCTTTGGGAGTATTTAGGACACCAGGTACCACCATATCTTTGGGAGTATTTAGGCGTTACACCAGGTACCACCATATCTTTGGGAGTATTTAGGCGTTACACCAGGTACCACCATATCTTTGGGAGTATTTAGGCGTTACACCAGGTACCACCATATCTTTGAAAAAGGTTACTGGGCGAAAGACAAGGTGGAAGATAATGTCTTTTTTCTGCATCGAAAAGTTTTAATTTCTACAAATAAATTTATATATTGTTTCTTTTAAGCGTAGTTTACATTTTCGAACACAAGGCTGAGCGATCGTGACATAAATAAGACATTTTGTTTCTTATATCTTCTTTTATTTGAGGTTTTTATTTTCTATTGTTATGCCAAAAATTTAATTCAAATAAGCACAATAATTTTACTGCAGATCTGATCTTATCTTTAAACTAACGTTTAGTTGAAGAACTACACCAGAAAACTTATGCGTAGTTTAAATGATTCAGTGATCACAAAATCGGTAGTTCACAGCACAGTAGTTCATGTAGCATAGCACATGCCTTTCATAGTGAGAAATGACAATAAACAGTTTAATTAAACGAAAAACATGCATATATAATTCATACTCATGATCAGACAAAGCGTTTAAGAGTACCGTTGTAAACAGGGGCGGATATAAGGATTCTGTAGGGGGGGGTAAAAAATTTTAATTTGGCGCGCGAAGCGCGCCGGAATTTTTTTTACCCCCCCCTAGAAATTTTTTTACCCCCCCCTAGAAAAATATCATGATGTATATCAAATTATTGGTTTTAATTGGGTTTGATTTGCATTTTCCACTCATTTCTGGGATTTACAAACTAAATCTAATAAAGGCTTCATTACATACCTTTCAGCTTCCACCTTCTTTTATACCCTTCATTATAGTCATTCATTTTACATTAACTACAAAGATCTGTAAAAAACTGAATTTATTTTATTTTAACTAAACTTTTTATATTAAGTTTGCTGGCAAATATTGACAAAAAAGGCAGTAATATAAAAAATAATAGTTTTACTCTAAGAGGAAAAAAAAATTACTTTTTTAAATCTTTAGAAAAGCTACTCTGCCAAACTTTGAAAAAATNGGGGAGAGGGAGAGAGATGTATCTCATTTTTAAGAACATTAGAGCATTTAGTGTTGGAACACTAAAGAGTAAATTAGGCTCACTGCACAAGCACTGCAAGGAGTTAAAGTTATAACATGGTTTAATATAAAAACTTTTGTGCATCACCTTCTTATATTTACTTTACTTGTCTGGGTTTCTGTTTGTAATCAATAAACGTCAAAACGGCTAAACCGATCGGGCCCAGAATTTTTAAGGCAACTAACATAACCACAGGGAAGGTTATAGATGCTTAAAATTTGATTTACGGAAGATTTTGAATATCCGCGAAACAATATGATGAAATCCACAAACTTTTTTATGATCCGATAGTTACTTTTGAAAACATTTATTCCTGTTTCGAGGATTTTTGATAATGAAGACGACATGTTCATATTTTCCAGAAATGTTCGAAAATCCAGCGCCAGCAAAATATTATTTTAAAAAATCAAAAATATTATGAAATATTAACTTTATATGACTTCGTCGAAAAATAATCTATGACTATTGGTTGTCATATCTGAAAAATTTGCTTGGAATTAAATTGATTATTTTACGATCCGAGTTGAATGTTTCAACTTTCTGAATTTGTATAGACGCTACGTTCTTCAGCATGAGTAGTTTTTAACAATTTACTCCTTATTGACGCAATAGATTGAAGTAAGATTAGTAGCCATCAAAATCGCTTATTTTTCGCATTAAGCCTATACCCCCTTTCATTTTTCGCGAACTCTTCCTTTATATTTTTAAGATGAAAATGGACATTATAAGATTTGAAAAAATTCTGGTAGAAAAATGGGCCGAGCGATGGCTGTTATAATTTAAAAATTCTTCTCATAATTAAGAAAAAGAGAAAACAATTTTAAGTTTTTGATTAAGATTTCTAATATATATTTCTGGAATTATAATAATATATTGTCAGGATTAAGATTGAACCAGCGTATTTTTATTTTAATCATATTCATGTTTAGGGAATAGTTTGATGTTTACGAGACGAGGATTGTAGTATATCTTCATAGTGATCAGGTAGCACTTAAAACTAGAGTTGTCAACAGGTTTAGCTCTCATCATCCAGGTAGGATGGAAAATCAGGATAGAACGAGATATCAGGGTAGGATGAAATATCAGGGTAGGGCAAGTCATCAGGGTAGGTGGAGAAATCTGATTTTCCCGATCGTCCCACTCTCATAAACAATCCTTTGGTAGCTCGAGTCTAGAGAATATACACTTTTAATAATTCACTTTTAAAACTTTAGCTACAGTGAGTACCATTAAACTGTGAAATAGTAAGACGACATATAAGTAATAGTTAAGTGTATTTTATGAAGATCTATAAAAGAGGAACAGAAAACGGAAGTATTATCAGCTATTTAGAAGATACAAAGCCAGAAAATGAATTCACTGCTCTATTTTAAAATTTTGTTAAAACTAAAAAGTGTATTTGATGTTGCACAAAGCAAATATTTTTACTATTAACATATTAAGTCACTTATTAAGTGAAAGGGGTCTGTTCATCAAAAGTCATAACTTGTGTCTAAAAGTCGTATTCCCATTCTAGAGTTTTATGGTTCTCATTGTACTATCTGCATGCAGGTTCAGGTTTAAAGGTTTACAGCGCAGAATAGGATTTAACAAAGTGAATAACGGTATAGAATGTGCTAGAGCAATTTTTCAAACAAATTACAATGACTGTGGTGTTGTCATTTCTTGTATACTTGCCTTTTTGAATGTTCGCTGTTTTAAAGGAATTGAATTTTTCCCAAAAACTTGACTTTCTTATCCCTATATATTTGCAACCCGATGTTGTAGACCTTTTCCTTTTTAACTATAAATTTTGTAAGATCAGATAGTCAAATAACAAAGGTTTTCACCACCAGGTCGCAAATATACAGGGATTAGAAAATCAGAGTTTGTGGCAAAGACTCAATTCCTTTACAGGATTTATCGCATTATTTTTTACTAATTAAAAAGTTTACTATAACACAGGTTTACAGGTTTTATAACATGCAATCTAACTGGTTTATCTTTAATCTTTTGTTGACATTGTGTAGAAGTAAGTATACCGTACAATATATGTCATGGAAATTGATTAACAAACCTGCAATCAGCTACTCACTATTTTGACCTTAAACTCTTGTCACATGCACTTTCATTTCTCGGTCGTACGACGTGTAGTTGCAATGTTTGTAGTCAGCTGACAGTTTTGGAATGGTTAAAAGTCAATGTTTAGTCAGCTGACAGTGCTGGTATGGTTAATAGTCAATGTTTAATCAGCTGACAGTGCTGGTATGGTTAAAAGTCAAAGTTTAGTCAGCTGACAGTGCTTGTATGGTTAATAGTCAATGTTTAATCAGCTGACAGTGCTGGTATGGTTAATAGTCAATGTTTAGTCAGCTGAAAGTGCTGGTATGGTTAATAGTCAATGCTAAATCAACTGACAGTGCTTGTACGGTTAATAGTCAATGTATAGTCAGCTGACAGTGCTTGTATGGTTAATAGTCAATGTTTAGTCAGCTGTCAGTGCTGGTATGGTTAATAGTTAATGTTTAGTCAGCTGACAGTGGTGGTATGGTTAATAGTCAAAGTTTAATCAGCTGACAGTTTTGGTATGGTTAATAGTCAATGTTTAGTCAGCTGACAGTGCTGGTATGGTTAATAGTCAAAGTTTAGTCAGCTGGCAGTGCTTGTATGGTTAATAGTCAATGTTTAGTCAGCTGACAGTGTTTGTATGGTTAATAGTCAATGTTTAGTCAGCTGATAGTGCTGCTATGGTTAATAATCAATGTTTAATCAGCTGACAGTGCTGGTATGGTTAATAGTCAATGTTTAGACAGCTGAAAGTGCTGGTATGGTTAATAGTCAATGTTTAGTCAGCTGACAGTGTGGTATGGTTAATAGTCATGAAATGTTAACTACAATATTTTCCAGTCTTGATCCTTCAAAATGAAATATTACGACACTATTGCGTAAATGTCCTAGATCATGCTTTTTATTTGGATAACTTTGATTGAAAGGTGTCTTCATATTAAAAATAACTAAGTTCTAACCACAAAAAATCAAATTTTCTTATCCCAGTATCTTTTCAGTCTGATGGAGGAAACCTTTAATACTTCATGGTAAAACTAATTGATTCATCAGAATTAATAATATTTCAGACTTAATCGAAAACAATAATGAGAAAGGTTTAAAATTAAATGAGTAAGTGCATGAAAAATTTGAAAATATAAAAAGAAAATGAGGCGAATTTGTTTTTTTACTTCATGTTCTTTAGGGTCGAAACTTGCCCTGGTCTTATTCCGGAAAGGACACAAGCAATTACACACTCATGCATTTAGAGAAAATGTTGGGTTGACATGCAGAGGAATTGATCCTGTATACTGTACAATACATTGTTACATTTACAATACATTGTTACATGTACAATGTATTATTACAGTGCACAGAAAATTATTACAGTGTACAGAGTATTATTACAGTGTACAGAGTATTGTTACAGTGTACAGGGTAGTGTTACAGTGTACAGAGTATAATTACAGTGAACAGAGTAGTGTTACAGTGTACAAAGTATTGTTAGAGTGTACAGAGTATTATTACAGTTTACATAATATTGTTACAGTGTACAGGGTATTATTACAGTGTACAAAGTATTATTACAGTGTTCAGAGTATTAGTAGAGGGTACAGGATAATATGACAGTGTTTGGGATATGTGTACAAATGTTCAAGTGTACATAATATTACAGTGTACAGGATATTAGTACAGTGAGCAGGATATTACAGTGAAAAGGATATTAGTGCAGTGTAAAGGATATTATTACAGTATACAGGATATTAGTACAGTGTACAGGATATTAGTACAGTGTACATAATACTACAGTGTACAGGATATTAGTACAGTGTACATAATAGGATATTAGTACAGTGTACAGGATATTAGTACAGTGTACAGGATATTAGTACAGTGTACAGGATATTAGTACAGTGTACATAATACTACAGTGTACAGGATATTAGTACAGTGTACATAATATTGCAGTGTACAGGATATTAGTACAGTGTACAGGATATTAGTACAGTGTAAAGGATATTAGTACAGTGTATAGGATATTAGTACAGTGTACAGGATATTATTACAGTGTACAGGATATTAGTACAGTGTACAGGATATTACAGTGTACAGGATATTAATACAGTGTAAAGGATATTAGTACAGTGTACAGGATATTAGTACAGTGTACAGGATATTAGTACAGTGTACAGGATATAGTGTACAGGATATTAGTACAGTGTACAGGATATTAGTACAGTGTACATAATATTAGTACAGTGTACAGGATATTAGTACAGTGTACAGGATTTCTACCTTTCTCTGCAAATCTGCGGATCTACCGATCCGTGTATAAACACCCTTCATTACTCTAGCGGATCGAAGAAATCTTTTTTTAAAGAAATTAGATTTTTAATTTTGAATGCTCTGTTCGACCAAGAGTACTGAGCTGCCCCATAACTTTAAAAGTGTGCATGCAGCCTTGTGAATGAAGGAATTTTTGCGTACAATAATTGCATTATTCTCATAATTCCTTTTAAAAATCATTTGCTTCCCAACAATTTTTCTTCATTGTTTTTGTTTTCCTGGTTCCTACTTTCATATTTTGTTTTTGTACAGAGCGTCCCATATCATATTAAATTATCTCCAAGCTTTAACGCCAAAAAAACGCATTATACTAATCGTAAAACTTGCATGTAAATTTTTATACTAGCCTTTTACAATTTTTTAAAATGATTCATTCTTTTTAAAATTTTTGATTAGTCCCGAAAATCGCAATTTATAGCTGTATACGATCCAACATGATGTGGGACACCCTGTACATTTTTGATTTGTATTAAAGATTGTGCTGACACGACTGATTTTAAACTATTCAAATATTTAATTTAAATCAGAACTTGGTAATTAATCAAACGGTGGAGGAATGCTTGCGTAGGTATCTTTAAATTTTTAACCTATGTCAAAAAATATTCTAAACATGATCAAACACTCGAAAATAAGAAAAATATTTACATGCTAATGAATAATTTCAGTGTTCCCTGTTCTGTATATTCTCCATGTTCTCCAGGGTTTCAGGAATACGTTTACCAGGAGAAGAATGACCCCAGTACTTACTCTCTTCAGCTGCACCTAGAGAAGGTAAAGAGAGGTTTAGAGAAGGATTAATAGTAAACGAGAGAAGGATACATCGTAAAAAAGAGAACGTTTAGAGCAAGTTTAGGGATGGATGGTTAAACTAGAACAAGTTGAAAGAAGGTTTCCAAAGGATAGAGAAACGAATTGTTAGAGAAGGTTTAAAGATTAATAGTAAGTTAGATGAGGTTTAGCGAAAGCTTAGGGATGGATAAATGATAAATTATAGAAGGGTTTAGAAAGGGTTTAGAGAAGGATATATAGTAAACTAGATAAGGTGAAAAGAAGGTTTAGGGATGGATGAATAATAGACTAGAGGGGTATAAAAAGTAAACTAGAGAAGGGTTATAGAAGGATAAATAGTAAACTAGAGAAGGGTTATAGAAAGATAAATAGTAAACTAGAGAAGGGTTATAGAAAGAAAAATAGTAAACTAGAGAAATGATATAGAAAGATGAATAGTAAACTAGAAAAGGTTTAAAGAAAGATAGATAGTAAACAAAAGGTTTAGAGAAGGATAAATAGTAAACAAGGAAATGTTTAGAGAAGGATAAATAGTAAACTAGAGAAGGTTTAGAGAAGGATAAATAATAAACTAGTGAAGGTTTAGAGAAGGATAAATAATAAACTAGTGAAGGTTTATAGAAAGATAAATAGTAAACTAGAGAAGGGTTATAGAAAGATAAATAGTAAACTAGAGAAGGGTTATAGAAAGATAAATAGTAAACTAGAGAAGGTTTAGAGAAGGATAAATAATAAACTAGAGAAGGTTTAGATAATTATAAATAATAAACTAGAGAAGGTTTAGAGAAGGATAGATAATAAACTAGAGAAGAATTAGAGAAGAATAAATAATAAACTAGAGAAGGTTTAGAGAGAAACAAATAATAAACTAGAGAAGGTTCAGAGAAGAATAAATATTAAACTAGAGAAGGTTTAGAGAAGAACAATAATAAACTAGATAGGGTTTACGAATGGATAAATAAATTGAAAGTTTTAATAAGGATATTATAGTAGTTATACACTTCGAAAAATGATAAACTAAAGAAGGTTTAAAGAAGTATAAAAGAAGGCTTTAAGGGCGCTTCGCACCCATCCTCTATTTCATTTGTAAACATTTTCTCTTTGAATATATTGTAAAACACAACAACAAAAAATCGCGGATTTTATAAAAATGTCGTGGATTTTCAAAATTTTAAAAAATCGAGTTTTGTTAGAATCAAACTTGTGAAAATTCAATCATCCATAAACCTTCCCTGGGGTCACGCGAGGTCCCACAAAAATTTTGGCCCGATCGGTTGAGCCGTTTTGAAGTTTATTGAATACAAACAAACAAACAAACAAACAGACAGACAGACAGACAAGCAAAATATATATAGTTAAGGTTTTTGGGAGAATGAATCAAGCAGGTTTATTTTGTAAAGATTTAAATTAGAAATGAAAGATAAGGGTTAGATAAATCACCTAAAGCATTTCTATAATCACAATTGTGACTGAATCCACCATTAATCAAACAGTCGAACCTTCTCCTAGAGAAACATAAAAAAGTTATTTATATATTTTCAGTGTATTTAAGTTGTAACTGAAGAATATAACAAAAAAATGTGCCTTTGTTGTAAGCTTTATAAACAAAAAAAAAGGTTAAAGGAGTTAAACCTTGGTCTAGGTTGAAGGGTTTCAAGGTTTAAAGCATTTACTTCAGTATTCTCTCCCACCTAAAAACTTTAAAGTTATAGACGAAAAATTAATTTCAATGTTCTATGAAAAAAAATATCAAAAAACGGTCTTTGTACGACAATGATGTTTTTACAACCTTTGTATTAGAGATTTCTCTTGGTGCTTCTAAAAACCAGTCTGAAGGAAAACTGAAACAAAAAAAATAAAGATAGATAATATCTTTTTTTGTTTAATTTTGTGGCCTGTGTTTTCTTGAATAAATATGTTAACTATCCAACTTATCCTAGATCCTATAGCTAGCTGCCCAACTAGTTTAATATTAGAACTTGGTAATCCATTCAGAGCTGAAAACTATAGAATTGTGGATATTGAGATCAATGCTTGATTTTCTCTTTTATTAATCTCAAGAATAATTTAATCTTTAATTTGTATTCTGAAAAGTGTATAAAATTCAACCAATAGAGTGGCGTACATGCAGAATCCCAAATAACCAATAAGAAGCCTGGATATTTGAAATTTTACGCGCCATATAATGAAAGAACTAATATTAATCGAAATCTGGTAGGGATATTTAAAAAGAGAGAAAAAGAGCGGATTAAGAAGGAAATTAAAAGTGTCTACGTTGGATATTTAGATTAAGCCATTGGAGTTAAGTAAGTAACTCTGAAATATATCTAATCGATAACCCTAAAGGTCTACAAGATAGTGCGAATCTATCAGACAGCTGTTTTTGCGGATTAAGTAATTTCGAGTTAATGTATTTATAAAGTTCAAGTGTTGCAGATTAGCGCCATCTTAATCCCATTTTCCCAGCTCATGATTTTTCTCTTGCTAAGAACTTTAATCTCCCTGGTACTAGTTTAACTTAATCTAATCTCTTGAAACAGATCGGTCTCATTAATTTTGGTTCCTTTCTTTCTAATTATTTCCTAGTATTTTATTTTTCTCGAACCTTGTTGTGTAAAATTGATTTAATTCGAAATATTTTGGATTCCCAAATCCCGGTATATGGAGTAAGGCATTGAGTTTTTGATAAAAACTTAAATTTTCGAATCCCTATATCTTTTCTACCTGGTGATGTGAACATTTGATATTTAAAAGTCAAATTATTTGATCGAACAATGTTCATAGTTTGAAATATGAAAGGTCTACGAGATTGGTTTGCAAAGATACGGGGATTTGAAAGTCAGAGTTTGTAGCAAAGACTCTGTTTCTTTATTTCCTAAGCCATAGCTCTAAAGTCGTTTTAATCCCTTGCATGCTAGCAGTATAACTATCTTAATTTCTTAGATCATTTTAAGCTGTTTGATACAATGTTTTGTATATCCTGGAGTCAGGGGATCAAACATTCTCAAAATTAGAAGTGCCCACATTGGATATAGATATTAAGCGTTCAAGATTAACAATGCTCCATACTAAAGTTCTGACCTCTGTGTGCTTTTCAAGGTCGGTTGAAATTGAAATTTTAAAATAATGATTCAAAATGTTTGGGAAATCCATATATTTTAAATTCTCAGTTTTACGATGTGCGAAGATAAAATTACGACTTGAAAAGCAATACTGAAAAGCTTAAATTGTAACTAGAAAAAGAGGCCCAAATGCTCCTTTTAAAGCCTAGTGTTCTAAAAACTGACCTGTCCTCTCTATATCTCTGCGGCTTAGAGTTGATCATGTACACAGGAATATAACGTAGTCCTTGGTTGTTCTGTACTGCATCATTATGGTTTTCAGACGGAAGTTGATGTACCATAGGACCTTCTTGGTGTTTAGAGGAAGGGGAGAAGAGAAAGGGAAGTGAAGGGAAAGGTAAGGAGGAGGGAGGAAGAGATTTAAAAGAAGATTTGTATGCTGTTGGAGGGTGGGAAATCATGGAGGAGGGATGAAGGTCTGGAAGCTCAGGACTAGGAAGAAACTTAAGGAAGGATGATGGTCTAGAGGATGCAGGTATACAGGTACCCTGAGTAACTAGTGATAGATAGATACCAGCCAGGAGATATCCTGTTCTTCGTCCATTCTTCATTGCTTTATCCCTATATTTGAGAACACTATTAAACAAGAGTATTTTATCCTAACCATTATTTATTTTATTTATTACATTGTTCAACTCCCTAGGGGTTAAACTGCATTTAAAAAAACTTTAAATTAAATGACTTAATGCTCATAAAATCCTAAAAGTAACACTGATATATATTTGATACTGTGGAACGAATAGAATATAAAAAAATGTTGTTAAAAAGTTTTGGAAACAAATAAGAGGGTACATCATGAGGAATAAGAGGGTACATCATGAGGAATAAGAGGGTACATCATGAGAAATAAGAGGGTACATCACAAGGAATAAGAGGGTACAGCATGAGGAATAAGAGGGTACATCATGAGGAATAAGAGGGTACATCATGAGGAATAAGAGGCTACATCACGAGGAATAACAGGGTACATCATGAGGAATAAGAGGGTACATCACGACTCACGAGGTATAAACATAGAGAATAGAATATATATTAGAGGGGAATTTACTAGAAAAAAGTGTAAAACGGCCAATTTGTTGTACTGTTTCCATACTGCAGGTGTACTTCACATATTTGCGCTATATAACCTTTTGGGCCCTGGAATATCATTTTGTAGAAAATCTAAAATTAATATTAAAAGATAACAAAATTATGAAATAGGCTGGTTTTATAATTGACCAATGATCATTTCACATAGACTCTATGGATTTCACTTTACAAATAATGATTTTCCGTTATAACTATAAATCAGATGATGTTTTTTATTCACCTAATTCATTATAAAGTTTATTTAACAGCTTTAAATAATTCGAAATTGAAATAGATAGTCTAGGGAACAAACTGTATTAATGTACTCAAATGCATATGATTTGTGAACATTTACATGATTTGTACACTTTGAACTCCCTTTCAGGCTGAAACGGACTGAAAAAATTCATACCGAGGGATTCGCTAAATTCCCCTCTAATATATATTCTATTCTCTTTGCCTCAAAGCCTTAATCTGATCAAAAATATGGAAGATAACGTCCTTTTTCTGACTCAAAAGTGCTTATTTCTAATAATTTCATCTCCAGCATTTCTTCTGAGCAAGAAATGCGCAAAATATATTAAAATTAAAAATAGTGGATTTTTTTTTCTCACAAAAAGTCATGAAAATTGGCATCTTTTGGTCTAAATAAATTATAGGGCTCAGAAAGATTTCTGTTCTAAAATACAGCATATGTACTTATCAGGACATATGTATATTTGTATTAGTTTTTTTAGGTCGTTAATTTGTGTACATTTTAAACCTAAACCCTAATTATTTTAACATTTAATTTACTTTAAAGCAAATAGATCATCACGTGCAATACATAGATGGTAACGTAGAATTTGTACGCTAAGTAACAGCTGAGCCCTAAATTTAAAAGAGTATCGTTAAACGAAACTCCCGAGTTACCTTTCTGGGGTCTAAGTACTTATGTAGATTTTGATTTAAGAGATTAAAAAGATGGAGAATATGAAGAAACTAAATAAAATAATATTTCATAACAAAAATATTGATATCCACAAAACTGCTTAACCCCATTCCTGAAATCTGGGTTTCAAAACTGGTGTTCATAACGATACCCAGTCTTATGTTTTGGGCTCTGTATTCTTACGTCACAAGTGTCAACAGTTTTATGTGTCCGACAAAATTATTAATAATTGTGATAATAAATTGCGTTTATTATATTAAAATAAGTGCAATTTTGTGTGTGTTTTTATTATCTGTTTATACACTTTTTTATTTAATCTTGGAAAATATGTGAACTAATGGGAGAAAATAATGTCTTCCTCGTTATATTTGACGTGACGTCATGTATGGTTGGTCTTTTTCTCTGTTGCCACCTATTGTACTTAATAATCTATTTGCTTTATAGTATCTTTTTGTTAAGTAGTTTCCGACCTACAAATATATACAAAGAATGATACTTTACAGACAATTTTTAGCTATAAGCTTGTTTTTTTCTTGACCAAATCTTGCAAAACACCTTAAAAGTTAAAGTCTTATTATATTGTGTAACTTGTACCTTTTTTGTCTTATTTGTGAACAGTCTCTTTAAGAAGCATCTACCTCCTACCTTGGTGGAGAGAGAGATATAATAATTTCTACTCATATCAAACCTTTATATACGCTCTGGAGACAGGACGGAGAAACTATAGAGGAGGATTCATGAATAAACAGTTCTCCGAACCACGAAATACGGAATAGTACGAAGGCTATTCTAAGTACCATATTGAGAATATACCAGGCGTTGCCCTTGTCCATCAGACTTTAATTAATATCATAGTGTAGTTTTTCACAGTGTGAAGTTTTCATTCATCCGCTTTATTATTTAAACAAAAATTGCCCCAAGTCTTAATAAGTCTAATATACAGGGTGTCCCACGAAACATGACAGTATGCAAGAGGACTTGAATGTCGTCTTGATTTTTGATATAATTTGCTGTGTTTATTTGTCAACCTAATTTTAGAAGTAAATTTCTGGAGATAATAATCACAAGGAGAAAAGAGAAAGAGGGAAAGAGTCGAAGAAAAGAGAAGGAGGGAGGGAGTGTCCTGCCATTTCCAAAATGTGGTCTGCCTTTTTTTGTGCTTTCAATATTGCCCGAGATATGAACAATTTCGTTCAGATTTCGACAATTTTGCTTTTATTTAACAAAATTGAAATCTGAACCAAACTCTTTATATCTCCAAAAAACTCAGACCACTTTTTGGAAATGCCAGGGCTAGGAGAATTATGTGATAATTGTTTCAAGAATCATACATGTTAAAGTAGATAGAAGACTAAATGTCAAAAAGAAATTCAAATACAAAAGACGACTTTCAAGTCGTCTTGCTATTGTCATGTTTCGTGGGACACCCTGTATAATAGGGGACACCTGCAGTGTATGAAAAGGATTCAGATTAAAAGAATCAAGGTAAGAACAAAAATATAAAAAGAAAATCAAGAAGCGTAATGAATTTCTACGGGAGATTTTGAACAGATATTGGTCCTTGATTTAACATTGATACAATTTTTGAAAGAATTTAAGTAATATCCCAAGAAAATTATTTTGTGCTGATTGCCGCTAAAACCTGTATGAACAGGAGGATTACAGGGTGACCTACAAAGGATGAAACTATAACAACGACCGGAATCTCTTCATACATATACAGGGTGTCCCAAAAAGCATGGGAATTCAGTGACGAATTCGATATCGTCTTTGTTATGAATTAGCATTGTAATACCTAATTTCAAAAGCTATAGTATTATTATGTCTGCTAGAGCTTATTTTATGTAAAGGGTAAAAGACTGTAAAAATGTGTCTATAATGTCTCCGCAAGATGAACAGTGAAAACGGACAAGTTTACTTTGTTTGTATCCTGTAGTTTTCTTGTTTTACTAATTACAAACTTATGCAGTTAAAACATAAACAAACAAAATGTGAACATAGCAGACGAAACTCTTACAGATTACAGCTTTCTCAGTAGGTATCACTATACTAAATAAAAGAATTATTTAAAAAGACGATATCGAATTCGTCACTGAATTCCCATGTTTATTGGAACACCCTGTATATAACGTTTTGAAGGTTGAGCTTTGTTTTCTACTGCATAAAATGATAGTTTTTTTTGCCAAATAAAGAGACAAGTTTATAGCTGAATAAATACAAAGAAATCCTCATTTAAAATCCATTTCATCATATAATGGTATGATTGGTAATTAGGGTCTGATGACAAATGGTAATATGCGTATTAAATTTAATTTCTTCATCATTTTTTTTAAGGGGTGAACATTGAACAACGACCCCTCTAGACAAAACCTCCAGTATGCCCCTGAGTTTAATTACTACTCCTTGTTTATTTGGTTTCTAAACGGACGAACAATTACCAGGAATTTAATGGTATGATCATCCAGCAACATTTCCGCCATTTTTACCCGCTCCACTGCATAATACAACTTGTTTGAACTTGAATAAACAGGTTTTCACTTGTTGCCCATATTCAATGCGGGTACTTGAAATTTGATCTGTTAATTAAATTTGTTCCTGCGCGTAAGGTTAAATCATGACGGGATATCGAAGATAAATTAAATTAATCCGAAGATACGATGGAGAGCAATTCTTTATCATAAGATTCACAAAACTAAAGTGAACTTCTATATTCCTTTATATTCATAATACAGGTTCACATGGATAATGAATTGTTTATGAACTATTAAACTTATATGAATACTACTATATTCCGTATGAATTAAATTATTTTGGAGTTTAAATCACTTTCCAGACGAACATTAATTACGTTTTTAAAAATATTGTGTAAATGCTACTTATATCCTTATCTGACAAAAAGCACAAAAATAAACAGAGAAGGAACGAATATTTATTCAAGTAATCCTTAAACTAATCCATTCATTAATATATTATATTCCATCCTTAAACTAATCCATTCATTAATATATTATATTCCATCCTTAAACTAATCCATTCATTAATATATTATATTCCATCCTTAAACTAATCCATACATTAATATATTATATTCCATCCTTAAATTAATTCATTCATTAGTATATTATATTCCATCCTTAAACTAATCCATTCATTAATATATTATAGTCCATCCTCTAATCCATTCATTAATATATTATATTCCATCCTTAAACTAATCCATACCTTAATATATTATATTCCATCCTTAAACTAATTCATTCATTAATATATTATATTCCATCCTTAAACTAATCCATTGATTAACATGTTATATTCCACCTTTAAACAAATCCATTCATTAATATACTATATTCCATCCTTAAACTAATCCATTCATAAAAATATTATATTCCTTCCATAAACCAATCCATTCATTAATTAAATACTATGTTTTATTTCATCCATAAACTAATCCATTCATTTATTAATTCATAAATATTATATTCCATCATTAAACCAATTCATTTATTAAAAAATATTTTACTACATTCTTAAGCCACGATTTATACATTTAAGCTTGTCGTATCTAAGATTGACCTACTGTTTAATGTTCCATTGTTTTATGCACATTTTTTGCTTGTCGTAGTGTTTTATATTATTTTAAAGACCATCGTAGTTTTGTACGAAAAAAAACTCTTGCAAATTGTTAAATATAAAACTATTAATTTTAAAACTTATCAATTGAATTCACAATATTATCATATTTATTAAGTTATAAATCACAGAATAAAATTGCAAACTAATAAAAATTAATCTTACAATTTAAAATCACTTTAAATAAAAAAAATAATAAAATAATGAGCAATTATCGTCATTTTGAACTGTAGAAATAAAAATTAGGTGTATTTTAAAGTTTTAATTATTTAGCTATGGTTTAAAAGCCGTGTTGGAACATTTCAAAAAGAGACTGTTCCAGAAATATCTAGTTGGTCGGAGGAGAAAACTTATTACTCCTCATAGGATTGAATCTACCAAGGCAGGAACATTTGCTATCAATGTTGAAAATAATCTGAAAAAAAAACAATAATTAAATTATTTACAGTGTTTGCTACGTAAATATTTTTTAAATGACTAGCTTGAGAGTTTTCCCTCTAAAATTCAACCTACTTAACACCAAGCTTAGAACATTTCCTTGGTTTCCGAGCTCCCCAATCACAATTAGAGACAAATCGGTCAAAGAGTTCATGGGTTTAGATCTACTCGTAAATCTATCGACGAAAAATAAAAACAACGTTTATATAAGCCGTTAATCTTTATCAGGTAACAACATTATTAAAATTATGACTAGAAGTTCCGATCGCTCTGGGCCTCAGAAACATCTTTGAGAATTATGATACACTTTATTGAGTTCCTAATCTAAAGAAGATTGGGGAATTTTTAGTTTTTGAAATAGATGAAAGCTAGGAATCTCTATACCTGAACTATGTAAAGGAAAGCTATGAATCTGTATACCTGAACTATGTAAAGGAATGCTATGAATATATCTGTATACCTGAACTATGTAAAGGAAAGCTAGAAATCTGTATACCTGAACTATGTAAAGGAAAGCTAAAAATGCTCCAGATATTGTTATTCCAATAAGAACCGGATGAAGAGTAGAGGAGGTATACGGAGTATCTGAAATATTTTTACCGGAGTATAGTTTAAACATTCATATTTTACATCAGAACCATCAACAATACTTACAAGTTATAACACAATCAGATTTTACAAGAGGGGGGGGGGGGGTGTGCGATCTTTAGAAAACAAATATAAATTGAACGCATCAATGCTTTTTGTTAAGTAAAAATTGAAGAAAAAAATTAAAATATAAAAAGTCCAAAGAGAGCTGGGAACTTTTTATATATGGAATTTTAAAATCCCTATATCCTAGTGCCTATGAAAGTCTAAAATATCAAAGGTTCACACCATTAGGTTTCAAAGATATTAGGATTGAAAATTTGAGTTTGGGACGAAGACTCAACTTTTTTAATATACGAGAAATATGGCGATTTTCTGTGCATTAGAAAATTCCCTACACTATATAATAAACCTATATCTAAAAAACTGATCTCTCGCCTCAAACTTTAATGTTAAAATCTCTATATTTTTGCAACATGAAGGTGCGTTTGTTTGATATTTCTTCAATCTTTCGAGTTTTAATTTACCTAAATTTATAGTTTGAAATATCAAAGGTCTACGAAATGAGGATGCAAAGATATAAGGATTAGAAAATTAAAGTTTAGACTTACTTTATGAATAATATTTAATGATTTTACCGACAATAACAATTCCTCTCTGTGTGTTTCCGTGATATTTCAGCTGATCCTCAAGATAGGAATCATCCAGGAGCCCAGTAGCCCAGATAAAATGTAGTTTACCCTGAAAATATTTAATTTCTTATATGAATTTAAAAATCAAAGAAAGTCAAGATCCTCGCCGCCCCGTAACATCTTTTCATCCAATTCTCCAATTTAAAAATATGTTTGATCTCTTTCCGAAATAACTAACTCAATGAATCTATATTGGAAAATGTTCTGATTAGTTTGTCAAGATTTTAATTTTTTGTTTTGTTTAAGGATCAATTCTTTTTTTTTGAGGCAAATGAGCAGAAAAGGACAAAAAATATTTTTTCCCCCCTTTTTCCACAATTTTCCATGTTTTTTAAAGCTTTTTCACCAAGAAGTCTGAGTCAAATACCAGCTAGGTGCTTTAAACACCTGCTTGTTAGTCAAGAATCTCATTACTAACATCAGAACGAAGTTTAAGGCTTTTCAGATCTTTTTTCCCCCTATTTTCCCCTTATTTTATCATATTTTCCCACTTTCATAATATTTTCAGATTTTCTGGATTCATGGATTTATTTTTCTAGGAATCTGAATGATATTTTGCATATGGGTATCATTTGTCCACACTCCCTTGATAAACAATGAAAAATGTGTGACTTATAACAAAGGGACATAAACAAGGGACTTGTAGGGATTGAAAGCGTAATTTCAAGTGATCCTTCCATCATTCAGAAATGCCAATTCCCGACTCACAGCGACATCTTTGTTATCTTTATCTGATCATAATGTAAAAGATACTGTAGTTTTCTAGTTAGAAAAGTGTTAAAATCTCAGAATTCCTAAATGTTTTCCTGCGGTAGAAATGCGATTGTTTATTTTGTAGAGAAATTGGAAATGAACGGACTTCTTAATTATAAAAATTTATTACAATTCATATCCGAAAAAATCTTTTAAGAGTACCGTTGTGAATCGGACATTGTCATCTTTGCATGCAGGTAATAAACTGTGCCATAGAAAGGGTTTCTTACCTGGAAAGCATGATCTGCTAAACCTGGATCAATTCTCTTTTTAAATCTCATTAAGGTTTTTCCATTCTCCTCCCAGACTGCTCCGCTGGTTATGTCGTCCTCGCCACCCTAAATTGTTAGATTAATTTACAGAATTATAAAAGATTTGCTGGTTCTTGACCTTACTGTTTAAGCAAACACCATCATTTCTCTAACCAATGACGCCTAATGTTGTCTTAAACAAACTAGAAAAAAGTTCTACTGGCATCGATTAATAGGAATCTAGACACTACAAAGAATTATAATGTAAAAAAAGTTATTTCAGAGGTGTACGCATTTTTTATACTGCAGTGTAATGTCTCTTGGCTGTAAAGTAAACAAAAGACGGATGTCACAGTCTGACAAGGGATATCCATTTTTTTACATAAAAAATCAATGAAATATTCTGGTCATAGGAAACTATGTGAATTATCAAAATTAAATGCTTTTATCCTCCTCGGACACTAGAGGAACAGTGATGTATCTATATTCTTGAGCTGATATCATAGACCTGGTTTCAATATGATATGCAGACAATACGCAACCGCAATTAACTTTCCTTGCCTTATTATCTTGTCTCACTAGAAGGTTATGATTAATTTAGTGTATACTATAGTAGCCTTTTCTACCTTCTTATAGTGTATAAGTTTACTGAATAAATTACTTGGCCAGAGGTGGACCCGGTACTTCAATCGAACCGTAGTTTATCTGTGCAGGGAGAAAAAATGAACTTACCCAAAATGTGTCTCGTCTTGGAGTTGATCTGTCCCTTGTATAGAAATCTGAGATAGAACCAGTTTCTCCTCTAGCAACTCCGATCACAATATCTGTGCAGTCCATGGCATGGAAATCAGTACCTTGAGGAGCAGGTGCGTCCGAGGGAAACCTTTGGCAGGATTTAGTTGAATCTGCAGGTCTCCAACCAACCCCAACCCAGGTAAGAGTGCTTGCTTCAACTATGATCTCCACTTCTCCGTCCTGAACTCTCCAGAACCCAGTATTGTCTCCTAACTGGATACTAGAGAACTTATCTTCGTCCCACTCCCGTTCATCTCCTTCAAATCCATTTTTCTTCTCACACTGCTCTCCTAGACAATTAAACAATTAGAAAAAAGAAGCAAGTGAAGGTAACTTGAATGTTAAATATTTAGTATTGAAAAGACCGTCGACCTTATTTTAGGTGATTATCTATTTAGCATGTACGATTTCCAGCGTGTTAAGCAGAACAAAACTGATGATTAAATTCTTATAATTTGAAATAGATGTTTATCTATTGAAGAGACTTGCAGATTTATCCGCCACAGACAATAATTGATCTTATTTTCAAGATAAGAAAACGATAAGATTGTTCTCCTTCCCTCAGTAAGGTTTAAAGGTCTCGTAACAATAAGGGGAGTCAGGTAAAATTACGACGACATTCACTTTAATGACTTACCAAACCATCCTTTAATGCAGAAGCACTGTTTCTCCTGAAAGATTGCGTTGCTGACCAGCTCACACTTACCCTGACCCTAAACAGATTCATTATTCTTTATACACCTACTCAACATATTTACCCTGACCATAAACAGATTCATGATTCTTTATATACCTACTCAACATATTTACCTGACCCTAAACAGATTTATTATTCTTTATATTCCTACTCAACATATTTACCCTGACCATAATTAAACAGATTTATGATTCTTTATATCCCTTCTCCACATATTTACCCTGACCCTAAACAGATTCATTATTCTTTATATACCTACTCAACATATTTACCCTGACCCTAAACAGATTCATTATTCTTTATATACCTACTCAACATATTTACCCTGACCCTAAACAGATTCATGATTCTTTATATTCCTACTCAACATATTTATCCTGGCCATGAACAGATTCATTATTCTTTAAATACCTACTCAACATATTTACCCTATCCATAAACAGATTCATGATTCTTTATATTCCTACTCAACATATTTACCCTGACCATAAACAGATTTATGATTCTTTATATTCCTTCTCAACATATTTACCCTGACCCAAAACAGGTTCATGATTCTTTATATTCCTACTCAACATATTTACCCTGACCATAAACAGATTCATGATTCTTTATATTCCTACTCAACATATTTACCCTGACTCTACACAGATTCATTATTCTTTATATTCCTACTCAACATATTTACCCTGACCCTAAACAGATTCATTATTCTTTTTACACCTACTTAACATATTTACCTTGACCATAAACAGATTCCTTATTCTTTATATTCCTACTCAACATATTTACCCTGACCCTAAACAGATTCTTTATTCTTTATACACCTACTCAACATATTTACTGTAACCATAAACAGATTCATTATACTTTATACACCTACTCAACATATTTACCCTGACCCTAAACAGATTCATTATTCTTTATACATCTACTCAACATATTTACCCTGACCCTAAACAGATTCATAATTCTTTATACACCTACTCAACATATTTACCCTGACCCTAAACAGATTCATGATTCTTTATATACCCACTCAACATATTTACCCTGACCCTAAACAGATTCATGATTCTTTATATACCCACTCAACATATTTACCCTGAACCTAGAAACAGATTCGTGATTCTTATATTCCTACTTAACATATTACCTTACTACTCATGCCGACTTTTTCAAAACAAACTAATTTTAAAATTATTTATGACTAACTGTCTACTTGATCGCAGCTAAAATTCATGAATTTTGTGGGTTTCAAATATTAAATAATAAACATATTGGTGTGGCCAAATTCAGAATAAAGGTAAATTTAAGACATTTTGAGAGGATTCCCGTTCAAATCCTGGACAAATCACATGAGGCAGTTAATTTACTCTGTTTGGGATTTTGTATCTCTAAACTTTTAAAAACAGTTTTGCCTTAAGAATATTGCTTAAACAAACTTCGTCTAGGGGGGAAAGGGGGGGCGGCCGGTTAGCTGTATACATGGTTTAGTGTGAATTTTTCTAACCTTGGGGCCATTGCAGTCATCGTCAGTACTGCACAAGGACTTATACTGACATCTGTCTCCACTGTACAATCTCTGACATGTACAACCTCCTGAACACAAGTACCATGTAACAGCTTTACTTCAAAAAAGGGGAGGGAACTAAAACTCAACAGTGATCTTGCACTTTTATTATTTCATACCGTTCACAAGGGTACCATGAGCACCGCAGAGGTTCGTGATTTCTCCAGGGTTGACTAGAGACACGTCACTGCAGGATCTGAACTGGTAGGCTCGCCCCCACTCTGTGGCCTAGTATTTTGATTGAATTAAATAAGTTAACACAAAAACCTTTAAATTCATACATAATATTCTTGACAAGTTTGAAAGGTCATTTCAGAAAGGAACTGTATATAAAAGTATATGAAAACTTTCGTATGTTTGAACGCAAATACGGACCAATCTAATTATAATTTGAAGAAAATAGATTCTGAACCTGTCTAAGAAGCCTCAGTGTACACTGTTGACAAGCTTGTGCTGGAAGGGTTAGTAGATGAGCCTGAGAAAATTGTCCTGCATCCTCCCAATCCTGTTCTCCTCCTCCTGCAGGAACCAGGGTAGAGATATCACCAGACCCACTTCAAATATAATTAAAGTTTATTCAGGTTTCAAATCAACGAGGTTATAGTGAATAGAGTGATGATGTACGCTAATCCTTTACTAATTTTATAGGCCATAAACTATGCATATTTGTTTATTATAAGTTGATTGTGGCCTAACCTATAGTATATCAATATTAGTAAACAGTTGTAAGTGTACAGTACAGCTAACTGAGCACACAGGTAGAGAACTATCATCCCCCTTGCTTCAGAAGAGTGTACAGGTTATTTTAAACAGTTTACTGCATAGGTTTTGTTGTCCCGCACACTGTTTATACCCGGTACCACACAGCAGTCTAGTCTCTAGCTGCTAGCTGGGCTAATTTATCATATATAAATATGGCGTGTCTGTTTGTATATGAAAAACGTCAAAACTGCTTTACCGATTAGGTCCAATTTTTTTGTGGCAACTAACATGACCCCCATGACAAACTTTGCAAAATAAAATATCCCACCTCCCCACTCCACTCCATATTTTCATTTAATAATTTGATTTAATTCAAAAAATGATTGTGGTAGACCCCGAATGTGGAATCGCCAGACGGCCACCGGACGTTAAGGGCCTGTGCCTAAAATCCATTCAATCCAGCACCCTAAAACGCAAAAATAAGCAATACATCTCATCATGAAATATTAATCATTAACAGGTTTAAGAATACTTGAAATTAAAAACAAACAAAAAATTTTTAGAAAAAAATCTGGATTTTATCTGATTAAGTCTTTTCTTTATACTCCTCTATGATCAAATATTCTGAATTTTACCTGATTAACTCTATTCTATATCCTCCTCTATGATCAAATATTCTGAACTTTACCTGATTAACTCTATTCTATATCCTCCTTTATGATCAAATAATTCTAAACTTTACCTGATTAACTCTATTCTATATCCTCCTCTATGATCAAATATTCTGAATTTTACCAGATTAACTCTATTTTATATCCTCCTCTATGATCAAATATTCTGAATTTTACCTGATTAACTCTATTCTATATACTCCTCTATGATCAAATATTCTGAACTTTACCTGATTAACTCTATTCTATATCCTCCTTTATGATCAAATAATTCTAAACTTTACCTGATTAATTCTATTCTTATGATCAAATAATTCTAAATTATACCCGATTAACTCTATTCTAAGTCCTCCTCTATGATCAAATATTCTGAATGTCACCAGATTAACTCTATTTTCTATCCTTCTCTATGGTAAATTTTAGGAATTTTACCTGATTAACTCTATTCTATATCCTCTTCTATGATCAAATAATTCTGAACTTTACCTGATTAACTCGATTGTATATCCTCCTCTATGATCAAATAATTCTGAACTTTACCTGATTAACTCTATTGTATATCCTCCTCTATGATCAAATAATTCTGAATTTTACCTGATTAACTCTATTCTATATCCTCCTCTATGAGCATACCCCAAGTGCCAGGTTACATTCAGCTAAAAATATATTTTTCAATGTTAAGCAAAGAGACACTTTCAGTTTGAAAAAAATATATTTTTACACTAAATCTGAGTTTTGAAATAGAATGTGAAAGGATTCTTGTTCTATACACATAAACTATCAATCTTTTCCATTCGACCACAACGTATCGACATTCCACAGCGGAGGTGCAAGATAGTTTTTTATTATTAATTGATGCTGAATTGGACCAATCCATGGACCAAATTTAATGAATTTGACTTTCAGAATCTGTAAAAACCTCAGGTGTCTTAAAACCTATTTCATAGCTGAGGTGAACGGCGATAACAAGGATAACAAGGATAACAAGGATAACAAGGATAACAAGGATAACAAGGATAACAAGGATAACAAGGATAACAAGGATAACAAGGATAACAAGATACAAAATAAATTTTTTGATTGGTTCCTTGTCGAAGAGTAAACAGAATATGCAGGGGAGAGGTGTCCTATAGTTCGTCGCAGAAGATGTACCTTCTTATAAATATGCAATATATTGTCTGTATTATTTATTATTGTCGAGTAGGAGCGCAGACGGGTTCGATCTGCTAATCTAACAACAAACATCAAACCATTAGATACGTACTTGGTGTCCCTTTAAACTCATGCGAATAAGGGATTAATAAACGTTGGAATCTTAAAGCTTATATTCGTAAACAAGCTTATCCTTAAAAACTGACTTCAGATGAGAAATCTGAAGAAGCCCAGACCACCATCGGGGCTAACTCCCATGAGCTCCGGCACCCCACGGCTCCCAAACATTAGGAAGATGCTACCAGTGGGTCGGGCAGAATCACAAAGTGATCCTGATGAGGCAGCCTACAACAGCCTACAACAGCGATAACACGAGAATAGACTTTACCTGTTTACAAACCAACCATATAAAAATATATTTCCTGTTATAAAGTTGTGTGAAAACAAACAGAAGGAGACTTTCAACTCATTTAATAAATAGATGGTATATTATAAAACTTTATCCTAGATTACTCCAGGATACGGTTTAACTAATAGTATAGATGATATAATATAATACTTGATTCTAGATTACTCTAGGATATGGTTTAACCAATAGTATAGATGATATATTATAAAACTTGATCCTAGATTACTCTATGATAAGGTTTAACCAATAGTATAGATGATATATTATAAAACTTGATCCTAGATTACTCCAGGATAAGGTTTAACCAATAGTATAGATAATATATCATAAAACTTAATCTTAGATTACTCCAGTATACGGGTTAATCATTAGCATAGAAGACATATCATAAAACTCAACCATAGATTATTCCAGGTTAAGGTTTAACCATTTTAATAGAAGATATCGTAAAACACTGAAATCACAGAATGTCAGGAATTATAAAAGCTCTACTAAATTAATTCCGTCTCATGATTGGCTATACTACAATATTTCATTAAAAGTATTTGCCTGACTAGTCCTATCACTAGGATTTACATGTATCTAATTAGAAGCTAAAACTTGAACCTAGATTACTCCGGGTTAATGTTATGTTACCTGTGAACCAACTTCTAACTGTGTAAACTCAGAACCAGGATTCATCCCACACAACCCAGACGTTCTACAAGTATAAAAAATTAGAAGATTCGAAACCCAAAAAATGTGAACATCTTACTTCTGCAAGAATTATTTATATTATATTTCACTCAAAATTGGGTTCAGACCACATGGGTCTGCCGCTTTAGAAATTGTAAATTTGCTGTACGGTCCAAAATAGGACCGCAAAGGTTGGCCCAGCTCGGAAATTCAAATGTACATCGGTTGTGAGTGAGACGTAATGATGTTTTTGAGCTGTATTCAGAAAAACAAGACAAAAAAGGCAACAGAATAAATATTTAAGAACAAAATCGTTTTCACTGAACCAGGATTAGGATAAAAATATTTCCACCTTGATTCTAGGAAAACAGCTAAGTCATTTCTCAACACAAACTATTGAGTGTTAAGCGAACCGAAAACCTAGCGCTATGGTTAATACAGAATTGGGAGGGGGAGGGGTTATTAAAATATATAAATATTACCAGTCATCCAAAAACACCTTCAACATTAGAGTTTTAAGGATCGTTTCTTTGTTTTTGTAACTCAGGAAAATAAAAGGTTTCTGTACAGGGTAAAAATCATATGTACCACACAATTAAAAAAAATATTTGAGAAAGCTGTCAAAGGTTTTCTAACATTTTAAAAAAAATTGGCTCCAAACAAAATGGCTCCGAACAATAAAGGTTCCAAACAAAATGGCTCAGAACAAAATAGCTCAGAACAAAATGGCTCAGAATAAAATGACTTTAAAAAAACTGGTTTCAAGAAATATTGTTCAGGATAAAATGGCTCCGAACAAAACATTTTGAAACTGGTCTAATAAAACATGTCAGAAAATATGTATTTTTTATATTTATGTATCTACCTGGCACTATCTAAAAAATCTAGATCATATTTTCTTGCGGGGGGGCTCTTGAGGGCTACATGAGAAAAAACCAGTGATAGAGAACTGATGATCAGACCCAACTCTACCAGGATCTTCATCTTCATATATCTGTTCGGAAACTAGTTCACTTGCAGACGCATCAATTCTGAAATTAAGAAATCTGAATTTATAGAAAATTATTCTAACTGTATTTTTCATCCTATCGTATAACTTCCCAGCTTTGGAATTTTAGCCTTTGCAATGGTTAGGGAAAAAAAACAAAGAAAAAAATAATTTTCTAAAAATAAGCGATGATTTAATCAATATATCTAAATTAACATCGAACAATGTTTAGACCACTTTTATCATGTAAACATTGAACATTGATTTAATAATGATCACCTTAATCATATATTCAAGTAAGCATTAATAACGATTATATTCAGCAGAGGTTAAATAACCACGAAATTCTATTTTGGTGGTTTAGGACAGCTTAGAACTAGCCTTTTTTGTGAACAAGCAAAAATCAGTATATATATAACTGATGCAGGAATACAGTGTCTCGTTTACAATTTGGGTAAATATATTTACATTAAAACTAGTTTCTGAGCTGTCCTTTAATGAACCTCATTGAGCTAGACTAAAATTTAACTTTTATCATCATTTATTCATGTAAACACTGTAAAAATCACTTAATATCTGTAACATTAAACATAAAGATATTGTAGTTTATGTCACAAATGGTTAAAAACGATTGTGAATACATTTGAATTAAAATTGATCAAAAGATTGCGTTTTCCCTTGAACAGTGAACAGCTGTGTATTAACTATAGAACAGGTGATCTCTACGCGCTAGGAGGAATGTACGCTTACTGGAGGTACAGACTGGTTTCTGAAGGTTATGTAAGAATTAGCGTCAATGTCTAGATATTCCTCGCTATTATAGACATATTCTACCTGAATGCACTGCAAACAGACCTCGGCCTAATCAATAGAAGAATATTAGATCAGATCTGGCTACAGAAAATTTATTTTAAAATGGCACGAAACATGACAGAAGCAATTGGGTGGATCCGCATTTGAACTACTGCCGTTTGAACTATGGTACGTTTGAACTATTGCTCGTTTGAACTATTGTTCATTTGAACTACTGACATGACGTCATATCCTGTAGTTTAAATCAACGCATTTCTTACTCATTTGAACTATTTTTCTACCCCAATTCAGTTTTAAAATTATTTTTATAATCTCCATTAAGTTATATTCATGACAATTAATTAGATAAACATTACACAGAATGAACATTAAAATAGTTCAAATGAACATAAAAATAGTTCAAATGAAACTTTTCTTATAATTTTAAGAACGTCTTAACCGTTTTTTTCGTTAATACATATTCAGAATCAGAAAGTAATTTAACCTTTTTTATTTGGTTTATATTCTAACATATATCCTATAAATTTCAAAACTTAAGTCAATGACTGCATAATAATAAATGTCACCTTGTTAGGAATAAAAACATGTGATTTTAAGTATAATGATAACATCATTTTTTAGTGACTCCCTAAAGTAAATTTTTTAGCACACCCTCGTAACGCGTCAACATGTGTGTAAATTAAAATAATAAAAATGTTATATTTCAGAAAATCTAGATTCAGCTGCTGCAATGTTAGTTTACAGCAATGAACCTGAACGTGAGGAACAACAATACTGATGAGTATTCAGATTATAACCTAGAAGAAGATTCTACTCCTCTTCTCATCTCTCAATCTCACAAGATGTCTTCCGTCACAGATCTATACGAACACTGTCATCGGACGGAGCCCGATCGAAAATCTCCCGCGCAGGCGCGCCGTCAGCTCACCATAGCTTGCATCCTATGCTTTCTGTTCGTGGTCGGAGAACTTGTCGGAGGTTACTACTCCGGTAGTCTGGCCATCATGGCGGACGCAGCTCATATGTTCTCTGATTTTGCCAGTTTTGGAGTTAGTCTCTTTGTAATCTGGTTGAGTGGGAAGAAACCCAAGACCACGATGACCTACGGGTTCTATCGGGCTGAGGCTCTAGGTGCCCTCGCTACTGTTGCCATCATTTGGTATGTGACCGGTATACTGACCTACTTAGCTATACAGAGGTTACAAAACGGAGAATTTGAGATTCATGACAACGCTATGCTAGGTGTAGCTAGTGCAGCAGTACTCTTCAATATAACACTGGGGCTCTGCCTTCACGGAATATGTTGCTCCTCTCTCTCGGGGCTCCACGGACACTCACATGGGGGACATGACAGGCTACAGGAGGAGGGAGATGTAGAAGTGGAGCATGCACATTCTCACGGTATATCACTTTTTCATGCATCAATTTAAAATTATATATTCCTTAATTAACCCCCCCCCCCCCCCCCCCCCCCCCCCCCCCACCCCCCCCCGCGGAGGAAGGAGCTGGGGGGGGGGGGGCAGCTTCTTATAAATTCAGAATATAAAACAAGCTTAAGGACGCTCCTGACCTACATTTGTACAATTAAAGGACAAGATGAGGTTAACCACATGTAAATCTGTGCACAATCTTTGAGTATATAGTTATACAAAAGAAAAAAGAAAAATTAGATTTCTTTCTAATTTAATTATGCCAAGAATTGTGTTAAGGTCTTTTTGCATAAATTAGAAAGAAATCTAATGCAAAGCTTAGAACTTGCTTCATATAGTATCATAGAAAGACACACATCTACTAGCTAACATAGTTTATACATGTAAACATTCTGAAATACTTTCAATGTACCTATTAGAGATGTCAACGATAGTGTAACGTAACGTAAAATGTACGTTTTTGTATGTTACGTTACAATAATATGTAACGTTTGGATATATTCTATATAACGTGAACGTTAAACGTTTACGTTATAGGAGCTCATACCTATAAACGTTAACGTTAAACATTAATGTTAGAGAAACATACCCCCAACGTTAGCGTTTTGTGGCAATGTAACGTTATTTTTCTAATATCTACAACTTGTTTGACCATAACGTGAAGAAATGTTTTGTTTCCATTGGAAGCTTGAAAGTCTAACGTTTGAAAAATTAATTGTGATTTGATTGAATTCGCAATGAAAGGATTTTTATTTCAAAGTTAACTTATAAAAAGTGTAACGTTGTATAACTGAAAATGCATTAGCTTTTATGAAAACGTTTTGAAATGTTTTCCCTTACAGTATAATAAAAAGTTAATAAAAAATAATTTTCCCCCTCATTTTTCCCGCATTTTTCGGGCATTTTTTCAAAAACTTTGTGATAGGTCCATGTGGGGTGTCTAAAGTCATTAATATTAGGTCGGGAAACTCAATTCTGGATTTTATAATTCATTTCCCCCTCTCCTTATACCATTTCCCCCCTCCCGTTCCCGCATTTTCCCCACCCAAAAGGCCAAAGAAGCCTTCCGACTTTATTACTAGAGATTTCTCTCTGATTTTTTGCATGCAGACCTGAATTATGATCTAGTTTTTGAATTAAACACCAGAGTGGGGGAAAAAATAATTTTCCCCTTCATTTTTCCCGCATTTTTTGGGCATTTTTTCAAAAACTTTAATAGGTCCATGTGGGGTGTCTAAAGTCATTAATATTAGGTCGGGAAACTCAATTCTGGATTTTATAATGCATTTCCCGCTCTCCTTATACCATTTCCCCCCCCCCCTTTCCCACATTTTCCTTCTCCTAAAGGCCAAAGAAGCCTCCTGAATTTATTACTTGAGATTTCTCTCTGATTTTTTGCAAGAAGGCCTGAATTGTGATCTAGTTTTCGAATCAAACACCAGAGTAGGGAAAAAATATTTTTCCCCCTGATTTTTCCCGCATTTTCCAGTCATTTTTTTCAAAAACTTTGTGATAGGTCCATGTGGGGTGTCTAAACTCACTAACTTTGGGACAGTAAACTCAATTCTGGACTTAATTGTTCATAATATTATATATAACATTTAGTCCTAAAAAAGAATTACATACAAGAAATCATCTTTATTAATTCAGTTTTTTACAGAATAATTGGTGAGGTAAACATGGACTTATCACAAAGTTTTTGAAAAAAACCTGAAAAATGCGGGAAAATTTTTTTTCATTTTTTGTGCTTTCAATATTACCGGAGATATAAAGAGTTTGGTTCAGATTTCAATTTTGCTAAATAAATGCAAAATTGTCGTAATCAGAACGAAATTGTTCTTATCACGGGCAATATTGAAAGCACAAAAAATGCAGACCACATTTTGGAAATGGCAGGACTAGCGGAATTTTGTGATTATTATCTGTAGAAATTTACTTCTAAAATTATAAGTTGACAAATAAATGCAGCAAATTATATCAAAAATCAAGACGATATTCAAGTCGTCTTGCATACTGTCATATGTTTCGTGGGACACCCTGTACTTACTTACTTGATACTTGAGAAGTAATTCTCCATCTTCCATCTAGAAATGTTGAGAATATCTTGATTTCTTCATGTAGCTTCAGTTTTTCTCAAATCAGCAGCCACTTCATTCTCAATGATTTTTATCATAACGTTGTTTAAACTTTAGAGAATTTTTTGCATGTTTAACATCATGGGGTAAAGAATTCCATAAATCAATAACTCTGCGTGAGAAAAAACTCTTCCAAATCTCTAGTCTAGCAACAGGTTTAGCAAGATTAAGACTATCTTGACTTAATCTTGTGACTTGCTTTCTCTCACCAGGTATTCTTGTCAACATTGTCAAATCCATTGACTATCTTGAAAGTTTGAATAATGTCTGTTCTCATTTTCTTCTATCCTCAAGAGGCATTCAGTCCTCAACCTTCTTTCACATGAATGAATGTTAAAACAATTACCACATAATTCTCCTAGTCCCGGAGTCCATATTACAGGAGATTTCAATTTTATTAAATAAATCCAAAATTGTGGAAGTTTGAACAAAATTCTTCATATGTATCTCCGAACTTCACGAACCTTTTGTTTCTTCAATTTTTTATTTTAAAAACAATTTAGATGACTAGATTTAATACGGCTTGCTGTATAGGCACGGACATGGGATGGCTGCCGGCTGCCCCCCCCCCCCTCTATATTAAATTTATTCAAGGAGAGGACGAGCCCTGACCCTGGCGTCACAGACCTAGTTAAACATTTTCATTTATGAAAGACCTTCATTTTCATCATTAAATTTAATACGGTTGTTTATTAATTGTTTATAGAGATGTAGTCTGATATTTTATATCAATTATCAACTTTTATGTGTATATAAATTGTATTTATTATACGTATGTATATATATTATGTATATTTAATGCATTGTTAGGCACTTATCTATATCTAAGTACTATAGTGGAGAAAATAAAGGTTTAGCTCTAGTATCAGTTTACATCTGTTACTCAGGCAGAATGCTTTAACTGCTTTATTATTTATTCATTAGGCTGTAGGAAGCTATAGTAGGAAGTAGTAGTAGATAGTAGGTAGTAGGTAGTAGGTAGTAGGTAGTAGGTAGTAGGTAGTAGGTAGTAGGTAGTAGGTAGTAGGTAGTAGGTAGTAGGTAGTAGGTAGTAGGTAGTAGGTAGTAGGTAGTAGGTAGTAGGTAGTAGGTAGTAGGTAGTAGGTAGTTTATAATTCAATGTAATCAATGTATTTCAAGAATTAAATTCTAGTGGTACATTAGTATTCAATTGTGATATGTATTGCACCTAATTAGTGATATTGTGATATTTGTCTGTGAAACAATATGTATTTATATGAACACGTATACAATACATATGTAGTTTTATACCTTGTGTATTCATGCACAGTGAGTTTCTTTGAGGTGATCAGAAAAATTATTCTGTGTTTTAATTATCTTGACTTTTCAAAAAGCAAACTCTCAAGAAGGTGAAGGATTTTGATAATAAAATTCAAGGAATAAATCATGGTGGGCACACATTTCCTTGCCCCCCCCCCCATGCCCCTAAGGAGCTTC